TGCGACAGAGTGTGTGCACTACACAGCAAAGGGTGCTCTTTGAAGGCCACAACATATCGAGCAAGAATTAGACATACACCGTTTGATTATACTTCTGACCCAGCCACATCTACGTCCGATGGATGCATGGCACTGGATTGTGAGGTCTGTGTGATAGGGTTGGGGGTCTCATCCCTGCCACTTCTGAAGCTACTAGAGCAGAGTGGCACAGATTTTCGTGTCTTGACCTGCACAGCCTTTGGTATTTGGCAAAAACTTACAGAGGCGGGTGAGAATTTTGATCTTGTGACGACCATCGAGTCCACAAACTACAGCTGGTGGGACTATGACTACGAGTTTCCCTTCTACACTGCTCGGCAATACCATGAGAAGCTACTGGGCGAGTTGACTCCGGAGCTGAAGGAACGGATCACATATGCAGATGTCGGGCGTGTGGAGGAGAGGGATGGAAAGTATCGGATCTTTGCTAAGAACGGAGAGCTATTGGCATCTTCTTGTCACCTTGTGCATTCGGTGGGGTTCTCACCTGATACAGACATTTTGCCGAACCTCAAAACAATTGCAAATGCGGGCAACGAGGGTGGCAAGCACTTTTTGGTCTTTGGCTGTAGTGATACCACCAACATGTACATCTCTCGCTTAATCCACTCGGGTCACCGAGTGACACTGGCTTGTCGTCATTTTCATGTGGTGGACAAGATAGGCGGCACCCATGGCCATGCAGGAGGTCCTTTTGACCAGTACGGGCCCATGCAACACTGGACGGGACGAAACCTGGCACCCAACGTCACCGGAATTTTGGTCCCGTTGCCCATCAAAGGAGCCAAGGTCGGCAGCCCGTCCTGGCTGGCTGGGAAGATCACCTCGTATGTGGCTCATGTCGTCGGACTGCGGGAGGTGGTGGACTTGCGGAAGTTTGACACCGAATTCCAACACAAGGCAAGTGGCCTTGTGATGGATGGCAAGACTGACGTACCGGGTGGCTTGGGTTATTTGGTGAAGCAATGGCCAGTGGATGAGTATGTCCGCTTCTACAATGATGAGCGGTTTCAAAAGCAAATGATACAAAATGGTGTTTTCTTGAATGACATTTACTTTTTCATACAACAAGGACTCGTGTCCTTGTACCATCGGGAGGAAGTTCAACATGTCTCAGGAAAGAAGTACCGACTTGGGACGGATGAAGTTGAGTTTGATGAAGTCTTTCACTGCCAAGAGGCAAGACACAAGACTCTGGAGATGCCCTTTTGCCCTCACTATTCCTATACCGATCATTTATTTGGAATTTGGAACACACGCCAACCAAATCTTTATTTCCTTGGTACCACGCGCCCCTACACTGGTGCCTTTGGATGTGTCGCAGAAGTGAATGCCATGTTTGTCCACAGAATGATCTGCGACCAGCAATTTGCCCAAGGGATCCGCGAGCAGTTCCCAGCATATATGCATCGACAGAGGGTGACACACTATATTCAGGCATCTGAACCCGATAAGTTGCATGTTCACTGGGCGGGAATGCATCTTTTGCGGGTTTCTCAGGTGTTAGGCTAAGAATTGACACACAAGGAGGCTCAAAAGCAGGGCCTGGTGACCGAGTGGATGACCGGCCCGGTCAATGCGCTCAGATGTCGCATTTGTGGGCCATATGCTACGCCAGACGCAGCGGCACGATACCGGCGCTCATGTCAGAAGCTTGGTACCAACTACATGTACCTCAACATGATCTACCGAATCTGGGGAGATAGGCTGGTGGTGGCGAGCTGGCTCTTGAATCTTCTGCTCAATGCTGGAATGACATGGGAGAGCATGAATCCCATGGAACAAGCCATCTCATTTGGAGTGACCTACTTTCTGGCAACAAGACCAACTGCCTTGAGCCAACTGCGTGGATTCTTCCTCATGTTAGCGTTTGACAGTCTGTATCATGTGCGAGCATGGATTATGCTGATGCTCAACATCATTCAGCTTCTTTTTAGCATGATGTGCATACTATACGGGACTTCCTTCGGGTTGCCTTTGGTAGTTCGCTTGGGTGTAGTCACAGATGGAGTGTTCCTTTTGCTCGGCTACCTCAGCTTTCCTCGCGCCTTCTTCGGGGACATGCGCGGGAGAACGCCCCACAAGAGATGGCTCTATGAGACATACCTGAAGAGCTCGAATAATGAGAAATAACCGCTCGGACAAAATGGCGTTCAACTGCTTGATTTAGCAGGGCTGGATTTTCCAAGAAGCCTTTCGAAAACAAGACACATTTTGTTTTAAGAGTTCTGATGCTGAGATTCACGCGTGACTGCGTGACTCCATGGAGTTGAACATGTTTCACTGATCCTCAGGTAGTGGCCACTGGCATCCAATCTGTGGCCTCGGTCATGGAACTGGCGCTTCACAACGCCGGTGCGGCGGGTGGCGGTTGAAAGGAATGAGATGATGTTTATCCAGAACCTTTCAACCCTAGTAGCGTCCTTGTTACTACTCCAACCTAATAGCGATGGCCTCCACCTAGTAGCGTCCTTGTTACATATATGTTTTCTCCGCACAGGGCATCATAGGCCCGGTGCTTCAGGGTGACTTGACTTGACAGTGCTTCAGGGTGAGTCTACACTGTGGACTATCAAGTTGTGGTTTTCCGTGTTGGCTTCGATGATGACTCATCGACTCTTTTGAGAAATTCCCACTCCGTGCCTCTTGAGGCTCTGAGGACAACTTTCACAAAAGAGAGTAGGACCAGGGTATGAAAGGGGCACCGCTTTCCGACGTGCCTCACGAATCCTCACGAATCCTCACGACAGATGACTACCCCATCGAGTGGAAGATTCAGACAGACTCTCTGGGAAAGTTCAAAGGGGCCGGCTCCTGAGACCTCGACATCGACGAAAGCGCGGAGGTCGAGAGGTCGGTGGCGTTTGGTTCTGCCAGGTGCAGAACTGTTGGTTCCGCCCTTCTGCGTTTCTTTGTTGATGCCAGTTGCAGCTGGCGCAACCATCACAGAGATTTAGAGAAGCTGGTGGAAGCTGCTGCCACCCTGCAGATTTGCGACACATGTTAAGCAGCGCTCGTTACAGGCGTTTTGTGAATTGTCCCGTCGCCCCGTGTCCATACAGTGATACAGTATGATACAGGATACAGTGACAATCAGTGACCTATGGTCTATGTGGCTTCAATCTCCATGAGACCTTCCGAGACTGTCAATCCCTCCCCCCACTGTTTTGACCCTCAGAAACGGGCTTCCCGCAGAGTGTTCCTGGTGTTCCAGTTGTCTTGAATTGACCTCTAAGGTCTTCACCGTGGATCCACAGTCGGGAATCTTGCATCCTGCACAGGTGGGGGCTGTCCGGGCACGGAAGACGCGGGTTCAGTACTTTAGAGGCCTCCGACATAGCAGATCTTGGTTAGGAGGAGATCTGGGAGTCAGTAGATGCCAGAAACCACACGAATCCTCATCTTCAACACGTATCTTTTTTTGCTCACGCCCATACGCAAAGACCGTTGTGCTCACTACCAGGCCCTGAGAACTGCGTTGGGTAACTAGCCGTTCTCCAAAGCAGCGTGACGCTGCTGCGGGCTGTTCTCCGCCCAACACGCGGGCTGTTTCCTGCAGCTTCGGGGGGCTTTCAGGTCAATCAATCTTTGTTTCGTGGGAACAGGAATACTCAGCAAGAGCACATAGCAAGAGCGGCAAGGCCTTTGCCCCTCTTTCTCAGCCTCTCGAGAAGAGCCAGGAAAACTTCGGATTCCTACACACAAGATCATACCAGCATATAATGCTTGGTAGACAAGTCTGGAGGCAACCAGAATGCCGGAAGAAAAACACTTTCCAGATATTTCCAGATCATCTTGGGCAGGATTGTTTAGTGCGAGCGGCTTTCTTGCCCAGCGAGCCCATTGAGTACAAGGCCCGGCGAGCTGCCCGTGCTGGTGGTCCGGTGACCGGTGATGGGGGGATGGATGAGTTGCTCACTGCTGAGAGCGTCAACCGTCCATGCGCGAGGGGAACGGAGCGGGGAGCGGTCGACTGGAGCGCGTTTTGGAGCGCGACGGTCGGTCCGAAACACGTCAGGTCAACCGGGTCGGTCTCCTTTGTGCGGGGAGCCACATCCAGTTGCCATATGACTCATGTCTTTCGATCCGTCGGAAGCGGCCAGGCCAATGTGAATGTGTACATCTCTCCGCCCAGGAGTACAGCGGTGGACGCAGGCGTTGTGAAAGGTCAAGCCTCTTGTAGATCTTCACTAGGTAGGAATGCGTGCGACTTCCCAAGATGGGGTTGTGTGGGGTCGAACGTATGCTGATGGTACGGCTGCCGCGCGTTTCTCTCCGGCTATATGCTGCCATATGCTTACCGCATCGTATCTCGAGTGTACTGGAGCCAGGCAAGAGTCTTGATCCTAGCTTGGCCCTGAATGCGGACGAGAGTTCCTTGGATCATTTGGCTTTGGCTTGAGTCGGGAGCAAGCCTACTGAAGGCAGAAAGTAGGACTTAGAGTCGAGTGATCGGCAAAAGTAGGGCATGCCTCTGTAGTACACGCTGATGGCCTGAGCTCCGGAAGGCACACATCTTCGGCTTTATTGGTCGACAGATGCAAACGGGCGCTTCTTAAGGAAGCTAGATTTGTTGGCATTGTTGGCATCGTATCGCGCTCCAGAGTACTGATTTGTTTCCACTCGACATCGATTCGGCTCAGACTGAACGGAGCGGGGCGACGCTTGCGGGCCGACGTAACCGGCCAGGTAAGCCGTACTTGGCCCTGCGGATGAAGGGTCAGGGCACGGTGCCGAAGCTCACCTTCGACCGGCGCGAGATCGTGCTGCCGCGCCCCAGCTGAAGGTTTGAGAAATCTAGAGTTCGAACAAGACCCCAAAGAAATCCACACAACCCAGGATTTTGTTGCCAGGCTAGTAGCAGGGCATATGTGCTAGTCTAGTGACTAGTGGTTGTATGAGTTATATACATATATATATGCCTACTATACAGATCTATGCAGCAGCTTTCTTGTTCCTGGTCTAAGACTGTCATGCAGGATATTGCCAGAGCTCACTCAATTACTGTACTCGAAACCCATTGCGCTTGTTAAAACACTTTCGACGTGGAGCCACGCCACTGACGACCTGTCTCATTGAGCTGCGGGCATCCAGATGATATTGATTAGAAGATGGTCAGTTGCATGCCAGAGGGAGTTAAACAGTTAAGCGCATCCCCTCTGGCACACTTAGCAGCAGCAATTCCTTTTCAAACCAACAAATCTGCCCAGATCACCAAACCTTGAGCAAGATTTGGTTGAGGCACAGGTGAAAATGGTACAGTAACCTGGTATGCACCAGAAACCCTGCTTCATCTGACCCACCGCATCAGGATCGTTCCCCTGGGAATCCGCTCGAGGCACGACGGGATCGGTTCTGGGCCGTGCTGTTTGTCCCGTCGGAGTGCGCTGCATTTCTTCCGTCGGCGCCGCTCCGCCGAAGCTCCTCGGCTGAGAGGTGCTTGTTTTACATCGTCAATGAGGGCTACGAGAGCTTGGACGTGCAGTACAGGCACGCAGCCTCATAGCTTTGAGCTTGGGGTTGGACGAATTTCGTAGGGGCCTGGCCTGAACATGGAATCAGTTTGCACTGTCCGTCGATGTGTAGAGATTCTAGTCCATGCCGGGCATCTCCTTCAAATGAAAAGACTGATCACTGATCAAGGCCGTTTGATGAATGTCAAGAGGAGTATCCTCCTTCTGCAGGTTGCCAAATGATCAGATCCGCATTCCGCTGACCATCAATTTCCCGGAGGCCCATATTGCTCGCCGCATCTGGCCCCGGCCGCACCACCGGTCCACGCGAGTGTCCACGCGGATTGAGCAATCACTTGATGAATGAAGCACCCCACCCGGCCTTCCAGTAGAATCGGTTCCGCACCGATAACGCGGGGGGCATGCAGTGGCCCAGACGTGCATTCCAACTGCAAGCGAGCGGCAGGGACAGCAGATCGGCATCACCAAGCCGAAAATTCCTGTCACTTGGGCAAGAACAAGAAGCTACTAGTAACAAGGGCATCTCTACTAGGGGCTCCTGGCCTTACTACTAGGAGCAAGAAGCTATTAGAAACAATAAAGAACAATTAAGTTTCAAAAAGGTCATCGTCATTTCTTAGGCGACCGAGTCTGATGGTCGGGGCAACATATGATCATGTCAGAAGCAGATAGTACTCTCTGGATCCCTGTAGTTTTGGATTTGACTTGCCTTTTTTCTCCTGTTGTGCTGTGGAATCCTCCTCTCAGCCAAGGTGGAGATTTTCTTCCAATCAAACAAGCCGATCTCCTTCTGTGCGAAGATTCTTGGTGATAGCAATTGGGCACCTTTGAAGAGTATCTAACATGCTCCAACCAGGTGATTTCACACGAACAAACACAGACATACTAGGCAAGTCCAAGTTTCCAAATCTTCTCACTCTGCAAGATTTCAGGATCGAATTCCTGGACAATGAGTCAGGCAGATGCAAATTGAACGTTTCAGCTTCACATGCGCAACAATGTTCTTGTTGCAAGACTCTTTTCCAAGTTCTTCATATGAGAGAAGCTTCGCACATGCTTCAGGATCCTTTTTCTATCAGAGCTGCGTTCTGGAACACATGCAGGTTCATATGTTCTTCCCGTCTCTGGAACCACGGAGAATTGCATCCTTACCTGCCACAGCCTGAGACAGTTTCTTGGAATGAGGTGCATGGTGGAGGAGGAAACATGTTTGCCACGGAAGTTGGCGGTGTTGGCCTCCACACGTCTTCCGACACGCCGGAAGCATCGGAGACGTGTGAAGCTCCCGAAGTGAATTGTTGGAATCTAGAAGACTGAAGAGAAGAACGTGCGCCAGGGACCTGCGAACAGCACCCGGCAGGCCATCACTACTTGCACAACAACACGGATTTCTATACGCTAGAGGGTGAACCTGCTATAGCCTCAGCTCGGATTTGACCACTTGTGCACTGGAATATGCAGACACTAAGTCACTAAGTGTATCTACTTACTTGTAGATGAATGTACTAATGTACATACATGCTCTGTTTGCACGTGGACAGAAGTTGAAGTGCCATCAGGTCATGCTTCAAGAAAAGGAGGACAGACTGACGCGTTGGTGACGGTCTGCCAAAACAGAAGGCCATGATTTCTTGCCACATCACCATGATTCCGGTGGGCCGGTGGAGCACAGCATCGAATTCACCGGACCTGGTTATGCAATGGAAAGTGTTGGACAGCAAATTAGATGGTTGCACATGTTGCACAGACTGCCTGGGAGTAGGGGAGAAGGTTTTTGGCTTACCGGCATACCCGTGCTGCAGCCGGTGGAGCAGCGAAGGGTCTCTCGCGCTCGCAACGTTCATCTCCTTCCAGGACAACTCTGGGAACGAGCAGGGTGCAGCGCCTTCCATCAAGACGGGCAGTGTATCTCACAACTCGATGGCAGGCTATGGCAATCAGGAGGGGCGTTTGGACGAGTGGATCGACGTTTGAGACATTTTAAGACATTTATATAAAGGGCCAGGAGTATCAGCTAGATGGCTTCTTATGGTTCTCGCCTACAGAAGGATGACAAAGACCATCAAGACTTGGCCCTGTAATCGCTTTTGAGGACATGACCCAAGCAGACTTCTTGGTGCGTTGGCTGAACAGCGTCTCGTCACAGGTTAAACGCCGCCAGTAGAGTATCTTGCACTATCACTACTTGCTTGAAGACTACTAGCAATTGGACACAACATATATATATATATTTATTTATATATACATGATATGTATATATTATACACAGTTATATATATAAATCATTGACCTTTAACTCAGAATGCCCTGTTCGCCGCTCAAGCTTCATGCAGCCGTGGGTCGGGGAACTCCTCCGACTCCTGAGTTTTGGGAGCGCGTCTTCCTGGTTCGGCTTGGCTTGCCCTGCGCACTGCTCGGCCTCCAGCCTTTACCTGGCTTGCTTCCTCGTGACAGGCTTCTGCCTCGGCTTCCTGGCCGCGGCTCTCCTTGTCCTCTGGCTCCACCTGCACTCAGGGCCTCCGGGATCTCCACCTGCTGCTTTTGGGCAGCGCTTCGATCGGGTTCCGACCCCTTCATTGCGCCTCTCGGCGTATTTGCATGAGCGCTCAGGCCGCTCTCCACATCTTGATTGAGGCTGTACAAGCATCCGCTCGCGCTCTTCGGGGCCTAGCTGACAATCTTGAGAGGGCAGCTGCCGCAGCAGAGAGGGGGCCAGCCGCTGGATCTGACAGGGTCACTGAGGTCTCCACCGACACCATTGATTGGGACCTGGTCACTGAGGCTTTAGAGGCGGAAAGAGATCAGCGCACCGGTGCCTCCGGCACCAACTTCTCGAGCTACCACGACGTCGAGAAGAGCATCCCCCCTTTGCCTGATCACTGTGTGGATCTTTGTGGCCGTCTTGGTGGCACCATTGAGGACGTCAAGTCCCGAGCTACTCGAGCCTGGATTGCTGGTTGTTGGGCCAAGGCCACATTGGAGGGAAAGATCCCAAAGCCTCGACCTACCCCCAAGATTGCACTGCAGGCCACCACCTACATCATCCTCAAGGGCCCAGGTGTTCAGCGACCGACCAGGGTCTCTTCAGCGGCAGAGTACTTCAAGCTCCTGCCACGTTTCGAGAACTCCGTCAGCCATTCGTTCCCAAGCCAAGCTGAGGCCAGGGTCTACTGCCTTGCCGCTGGAATTAGTTTTCCTGAGGCCGAGCAGTAGAGATGGCGACAGGTGGCCCGATTCAGTTTTTGGACCAAGGAGTCCTCCAGACCTATGTGATGGGCTTGGACCTCACTGCATGGGATGGGGAGTGGACGGAGAGTTTTGCAATCCCAGTTTTGAGCCGGCAGTCGGGGGTTCTGATTGCAGTACCAGAGGGAGCTTTTTCTCCGGAGGTTCTCCAGGCTGGAGCTTTTGCAGCGATGGACGACCTTGTAGGCCCGTCGACGAGGGTGACATTGCCTGCTGTCTTCGAGGAGTTGGACGGGACAGAGACACCCCACACAGAAGAGATTCCAGTTGTTTTGATAGATTTCCACAAGAACATCTTGGAGAGCATTCGAGGCTTCGACCCAGTCACAGAAGGACCCGGCATCCGTTGTTTCTCGCCACCACATATGGAAATCTTGCCAGAGTCCAATTCCCTACTTCTTGCGGCTTACGCCTATGTGGAAGGGGGTACAGAGGGAAGGACCCAATTCTATTCGGCAGAAGAGACACATTTTCCCCCCCTGCCTGTGACCCCGGCACCAAAGACCTCCTCGAGGCAGCCCAAGGCGAAGGCCTCCCCTGGTGGGGCTTCCACTCCCAAGAGGGTTACTACGGCAACGCTAGCCGAGCAGTTAGCAGAGATCTCCAAGGTGCTCCCTGCTATGTCCTCCCAGCTCGAGGCTATGACTCAGCGCCAAGACAGGGTGGAACGCCTGATGAGTTCTGCACCTCAAGCATCATCCAAGGAGCCTCCGGCCCACAAGCAGGACTTCCCTCTGGTGGGGAAAGGATCGCCCAGACCATCCGCTCTGAAATTTGTTTCCAGAGTGGGCAGCCCGCCAAGGTCCAGACCACTGGCCGATGCAAGCCCAGCGCCCCGGAAGACCGTGGAGTTCACGAACGTGGACGAACCTCTCGCCCTGCCCTCAGATCCAGACTACCCTGGAGGAGAACAGAGCGTCCCAGTTCTTCCGCAACCAGAGGCGCTCTCAGCGGCACTGTTCCAGCAGTCCCAGGCTTTGACGACTCTTGTGGCTCACTTGGCAGGTCAGGATGGCATGGAGTTTGGCTCGACAGGAACGAGTTCAGCCCTCAGTTTGAAGGGTTCGCTGAAGCGGGACAAGCTGCTCAGGGACCTGGCAGAGAGGCGAGGGAACTTTTTCCTCAAGGTGGCATCCGGCGCCTCAGGCCATCAGAGCCCGTCCCTCAGGAGATCTCTGCTCTTGGAGGACGTGCCCTCTTCTCGAAGTACATGGAAAGAAGCGGTGGCTACTCTGGCCAAAGAGACCTGGGCCTCACTATGTGGCTGCTCAGCCAGATGGCGGACGCATTCCTGAACGAAGATGCAGCCGGTGCCCAAGAACTGCTAGCACTGACCATGGTGACTTTGGAGCAGGTGGCTCAGGACTCTGGAAAGTGGGAAGTAGGGTGGATCTTGTCACTGCAGGAGGATCCTCCTCCGGGTGTCTTCCAAGCAAGGCCCATCACGACGAATCCCAGGCTCCGAGCTTTTGCTCCTCTGTGTCCGCCAGAATGGGCCACCACGGCGTTGTCCTATGTCAAGGAGGTCGACCTGATAAATTCCAGGAGACAAGAAGCCCTGCCAGGAAAGAAGAACCTGCCTGGAAAGGAACAAGACGACCAGGCGGGCCCCAAGAAGAAGCCCGCTCGCTATCCCAAGAAGCCCAAGCAGGGAGGAGACACATCCAGCCAGTGAAGGTTGATGACGAACAAGTTATCCTTTCCGGCGATGATGGACCCCGCCTTCAGGGCAAAGGCACGCATGACAGCCAACTGAAGGAGGCTCAAAGCCCTTGTTCCGGGTCCCGAAAGGTGACCTGCCGGGAAAAGCTTCCTACTAGCTCCTCTCAGAGCCCAGCTCCCTCAGGTCCGTCTGGAGAGCCCCTTTGCTGCGCTCTTCTACCTCAGAACGGCCAGGCTCTGCCTGGACCGTTGCCTGCGGTCGGGGGGCTCTCCGGACATAGTGCCTGCTACAGTCAAGGGAGCGGGAAAGCTGGGAGTACTGAGCTTCCGACACCCTCGAGAGAGGTGAAGAAGATAGGGCTAGTCCCAAATGAGGAACCACTTGAGGCTCTTTGGGACAGGCTCCAGACCTACTCATTTGATAGTTGGGCTTCATCCCTCTGCTCGACAGTTTTGAGGTCCAGAACCTCCTTTGCGACGTTCTTGCGGACTACCTTCTGCATCACAAGACTGCACCCATGCAGTTCTTCAAAAGCCTTGTTCCCGTTGCCGGTCCCGAAGCTTGGAGTCTTTGGAGGAGGCAAGCATGGCTCCCGACAGAGGAAGAGGGTTGCTTTTGACCAGGCTCTTCACATTTGTGTGATGGCCCTGAACTACTGGCACGCAGACTTTAAATTTGTCCCAGCCTCTTCGTTGGCACGGAAACCAAGCAGGCCTCAGCAATCGGCTATTGACCACATCCGGAGGATGCTCAAGGCTTTCGGTAGCTCTGGAGAGACATTTGAAGTTCCTTCAAGCGGCCGTAGAATTACCTCACTGATCTCCCTTCTGGCTGACCTCTCAGACCTTGCTACCTGGGAGGGCGTTGGTGGAGATTCCTATTCCCGGACTTTCCCTGGAGCCCATGGTGGTTTGAAAGAAGGCCTTGATGTTGCTCGGAACCTGGACAGGGCCGATGAACTCCGCCCCTACAGAGACCTTCAGCCTGACCGCCTCAAGCTCTACGGCCATGCTCAGTGGGATCCGTCCCCTTATCTTTCAGATCAACTATGGATGGCATATGTCGAACCTTACAGCATTCGCTGGGCCGAGGACCAGAGGACTGGCAATGCTCCAAATCTTACCAAAGAAGATCGTACCGCCATCTCCCAACTGGCTAGGATCTGGGACATCAACGGTCTCCTGCTGATCAGGCCTGCTGATCAAGATGTTGATGTGTCCACCAGTATGAGGTTCTTCAACGCCTTCAAGAATGAGACAACGGACAGGATGATTGGCGACAGACGGTCCAGGAACTATGTTGAAGCCCGACTTCCTGGTGTCTCTTCTTGCCTGCCGTCGGCCCAGTGCCTCCTTGACCTTGAGGTTCGGCTCCCATCCCAACGGCTATCGCTGAATGTCACGGATCGAAAAGACTTCTACCACCAGCTTATGGTGACAAAGAGCAGAGCAGAGACAAATGGCCTCTACCCTTTCATCTCCCTCGAAGACGTCAAGGGAACGAAGGCTTTCGAGAGGTGGTGCCTCTCAAATAGAGGTCAAAGAGCGTACGACAGACTCAAGGAGGGTGACTATTTGGGGGAGCGGCCCAAGAGGAAGAAACCTGCCCACAAGATGCCCCCCGCCTTCCAGGCATGCTTTGCTAGCATACCTCAAGGAGACCATCTTGGAGTAGAGATTGCCACCGAAAGCCATCGAAACTACCTCATCTCCAAAGGCCTGCTTCAGGAAGAAGAAGAGCTTAGATCCGGCCACCCTTACCTTGGCCAAAAGGTTGCTTCTGGCCTCGTCATCGATGATTTCTTTTCCATCTCTGTCGAGGATGCTGCAAATGGAAGATGGCCTGATGAAAGGTCTGAGTGGATTGACACTGCTCAGGCACCTCAGGGGGTCTCACAAATCCTCCTGGCAAGAAAGCCTATGCCGACGCGGGCCTTGAAGGATCTCCTCTCAAGGACCTAGTCGACGAAGAGAAAGGCAAGATCATTGGGGCCGAGGTTGACTCGTCATCACTGACCAGGTCTCTGGGGCTAGTGCTGGTCGCGGCTCCTGTCCGAAAGCGCCTCGCCTTGGCCTACATCTCTTTGGAGCTCGCAGCAAAGGACACAACTTCCGATGCGCTGCATGCTTGCCTGATTGGTGGATGGGTCTCCGCTGCGATGTACCGAAGACCTTTCATGTCGATCCTTCAAAAAGCCTATAAGATCCAGATGTCAGAGGTTGACCAGGAGAGGCCAAAGACAGTGAAACTGCCAAGATCAGTTGCAGAGGAGCTCACCCTGTTGGCAGTGCTCTGCCCACTGATGGCTTCCGATGTTTCTGCTCCCCTACAGCCTCGATGCTATGCTACAGACTCTTCTGACGGAAAGGGGGCAGTCGTCTCGGCACCCGTGAGTGAAGCTTTGTCTCGAGCTCTTTGCCGGTCTGGGAGGAAGAAGGCAAGCTATGCACGAATGCTGTCTAGGTCCGAGGCCATCCTCAAGAACATTGATGAGATGTATGAAGAGGGTCTTGATGAGACTCAGGGGAACCAAGATGACGTCGACCCCGAGAGACCAGTTGCCTTCAGGTTCCACTTCCTGGACATCTGCGGGGGAGCCGGCAAGGTTGCAGCAGCAGTCGAGAAATATGGTTGGGTTGTCGGGCCAGTCATTGACCTAGATAGGTCTCGGCATTTTGACTGTGGAGCCCTCCGAGTCATCGCCTGGCTCTTCCACCTGATTGAGTCGGGAAAGTTGGACTCCTTTATGATAGCACCTCCTTGCACCACCTTCAGCCCGGCACAGCATCCTGCCTCAAGAGGCTATGACAGGCCTAGAGGATATGACCCACTTGATCCAAAGACCTTGCAAGGTACAACCATCGCATTGCGGGCCTTATCATTGATGATGATGGCGGTCAGGTACAACATCCCTGGCCTGCTTGAGCAGCCAAGAAGAAGCAAGATGAGAAAGCTCCCGGAGTGGGAATTCCTATGTTCATCGTGGGGCGCCTCAGAGTCAGTCACCGCCTCGTGCATGTTCGGGTCCATTCACAAGAAGGAGTTTGTCTTCCTTACCTCAAGCCTCGATACCTCTCTCTTGACCCGCACCTGTGATGGCCAGCGCAAGCGCATACAGATTGCAGGCAAGTGGTCAAAGCCCTCAGCTGTTTACACCGATGAGCTTGCCGCGGCCCTGGGCCAGTCCTTCGACAAGGCCCTCACGAAGAAGATCCGAAGGACCCAGTTCGTCGAGCCCAAGCTGAAAGGTCTTGAGAGCCCGCTCTGCAATGATGTTCTACTGTCGGCAAAGTGGAAGGTCGACAAGGTGTGGTCTTGGAGAAGTCCTAAGCACATAAACATCCAAGAGGTCCTTGCGGCTGAGAGACTGATGAAAGAACAGGCCGTCTCTTGGCCAAAGTCACGCTTCCCCGTTGTCATGGATTCAAACGTGGGCATGTCTGCCCTAGTCAAAGGCAGATCACCATCAGATGGCCTCCGACCCGCCTTGAGGAGGGCAGGATCCACCATCGTTGCAGGAGCCTTGTATCCGGCCTACCATTTTGGGCCCACCAGACTACTACCAGCCGATCATCCTACCAGAGACAATGAGTTCCCTCCTCCATGCAGGAGCTGCCTGCCTCCTGAGGCGACGTGCGCCGAACTCTTACAGTTCTCAAAGGTCTCAAACTTGGCTCGAACAGGGGCAAACTGGGTTCGCCTGGTTCTTCTCCTTTTGCAAAACCTGCCCCTGTGGAGCCTAAGTAAGGATTCCTGGAGGTTTGCTCACGTCAACTACAAGCACTACCCGTTCAGCACCCAGAAGGCGGATTTCAGCCGGAAGGAGTTTGACAGCGCACGTGGCTATCCTGGAGAAGGCCCCACTGCTGGAGGCTCTCGAGTGCAGCTGATCCGTTGCCTTGCTTCCGTCCTTCCCTTTGGATTTCCTGCCCTGGTTGGACTTCTTGGGGCCTTTGCTGCCCTGGTTGGAATTTTTGGGGCCTACATCAGCCTTGCCGCCTTTGGCTTAACCTCTGCCTTGCCGAGAAAAGCTGTGCCTGTCCATGTCCGTAGCCGTTTCCGGCCGCGCTCCTCTTCCCTGACCCTTTTCAGGCAAGCCAAGCTTCAGGCCCTCTTTTTGGCCATCTTGTTCCTGGAACACCCAGGCCTTGTAGCCGGCGCGCCTCGCCATGGACTGAAGCTGCAGCCCAGAGATGCTGCCGACCGAGCACGACAAGAGACAAGAGACCAGCTAGAACTGCCTGATGGCAGGCCAGTGCTGGGACAGACCCAGCGGCAGAGAGACAAATTGATGGGAGCCTTCGAAGAATGGCTTCGCTCGCAGGGCATCCTGCTGGACGAGATCCTCATGGTAGGGGCTCCTGACGTTGAGGCCCTCAACATCCTGCTGGAGAGGTACGGCCGTGAGCTGTATCGAGCGGGACGACCATACGGTCACTACAGTGAGACCGTCAATGCAGTGTCGGCCAAACGGCCAAGGGTTCGGAGATTGCTCCAGCCGGCTTGGGACTTGGCGTATAGCTGGCTACGCCAAGAACCACCAGTACACCACCTGGCGCTCCCATGGCAGGCGATGCTCTCGTTCCTCACAACGTCGCTCTGCTGGGGCTGGTGCAGAGTCGCCGGCATCATCGCCCTATCGTGGGGCGGGATCACGCGGATCGGAGAATCCGTAAATGCCTTCAGACGAGATCTGGTCCTCCCGTCTGATGTCAACTACACGATTGACTACGTGCTCCTTCAAATAGCTGAACCAAAGACACGGTTCAGATGTGCTCGCCGCCAGATGGCAAAAGTGGATCAGCCTCAGTTGGTCAGGATCATCGTCACGGCTTTTGAGAACCTGCGACCTGACCAACGACTCTGGCCGGCCTCGGGATCAACGATCCGGAGCCGTTTCCAACGCCTTGTCCAGGCGAACTCCCTCGACCACCTCCGGACGAAGAAGGGCCTGGACCTTGGCTCGCTGAGAGCAGGAGGAGCGTCATGGCTCCTGATGACCTCCGACAACCCAGACATGACAAGGCGCCGAGGGCGCTGGATCAATGCAAAAGTGATGGAGGTGTACGTGCAGGAAGCTTGGGCAGTCCAATTTCTGCCACAGCTTCCAAAGTCCATCAAGGAGGGCATCATGGAAGGAGCTGGTTTGTTTCCGTGGGCCTTGGAGCTTGCGGAGATTTGGAAGAGGGCGGCTGTCCCGGAGTCAGCATGGCCCATCCTGTATCAGAAGGCGGCTCGAGACCTTGAGCAGCAAGAAATGGGAAGGCAACACCTCGAGAAGGAAGAGGCGGGAGATGGAGGGGCCGCTTTTGCCCAATGTGGGCGTGTGCACCCTTCAAAGGATGCAGAAGAAAAGAAGTGCGACCAGCTTGATGAGTTGACCTTTAACTCAGAATGCCCTGTTCGCCGCTCAAGCTTCTCCCGCAAAGCCGCCCACCCGAGCCGCTTCTGATGCGGCCCCGGGGCCGCTTTTGCCCAATGTGGGCGTGTGCACCCTTCAAAGGATGCAGAAGAAAAGAAGTGCGACCAGCTTGATGAGTTATATAATTATATATACATTTGTGGACAAATCCCAACATTTCTGGATTTGTTTTGGGAGAAGTCACTCTGACGTGACCAAGGCAACATATTGAAGAACCAGTTGGATCACTTTCCGCAGGCTGGGCGTAACCGTGCTGGGCGGATGCCTTTTCAAGGTGTCAAGTACTTCATGGCAAAGGATGTGGAATGTGCCATTTGAACCCATCATTTGCATTCATGAACGCCGCAGGAACACCGCAGCACTGCCATGCAAATCAGCTTTCATTGCATTGTAACAATCAGGATGTGTGTAACAATCTATCATGAACTTATCCGATCGAACCATGACGCGTCTTTTTGAGGCCAAGTGGTGTTCGACAGGCTTTACTGGGAATACAGGTACTTGCATTGATTGACATGCTTGGAATCCCGCTTGGTCGCGCAGCTGCCAGGACCTGGTGAATTCGAACGGCCGCCATTTGTACGAGATGATTGAGTAACCCCCTGAGAGCAATGTGGCTGTGGGTCAAAACCTGGAACCCCAACACATGTAGCTTGACCTCCCAAATAGGTCAACCTAGGTATCCCGGTTTGATGTATCTGTGTGACTCGCTACTGTATGACTCCATGCGCATCCGCTGGGCGGCGAGACGTTTTGGCACTGGATCCATTTGACATGTTATCTTGTATGCGCTACCAAGTTCCACATGCCACATGCCTCCTGCATGCCATCTCGGTGCATGCGGACACGCAGCTGCTTAGGTTCTTGTCCGGCAAGTCTGTGCGGCGGCCCGGCATCAGAGGCCCTGTGACACTGCCACGGACTACGGCGGGGCACCGGCGAGACGACTCTCCGGGGCGCTGGGCCGGACATGAAATCCCACTAATCCCATTGCGAAAAGGTGTTAAGGCCAGGAGCCACTAGTAGCGTCCTGGTTCCTGGGAAAGTGTGTGCCTAGCGGTGCAGACATCCGGTACGTCACTGGTACGTCATTTTGCACTTCAAGAGCTTGTGTCGCTCCTGTCGTGTTCTGTGCGTATGGGCGCGGTGGCACTCTCCAAGGTGCCAAACAAGGCGGCAGCACCACCGCCACAGCGCATGGACAACACGGGTTCCTCCTTCCGTGGCAACGACAGAGGCACGGGCTGCAAGGGACATTTGGGGCCCTGGAAGAGGCTGCAGCCTGGAGATGCCTGCGTTTTTGGAACGCTGGGAGCGTGGGGAGGTTATGAACTAGATTGTTTGACTAGACTATAAAGCTCCCATGGAAGACAGATTTCATTGCTGCACATGCATGAAGATGTATGGCATGCATTGCTGCATGAAGCTTGCGGTCACATTGAGGGACGCACCATGGAAGCAAAAGATTCAGGTGCTAAACAAAAGAGCCGAGAGATGCAGAAGATCCTGCAGCTGATGCAACAATATGAGGTGCCAGCCCGTCTCCATCCTCACCTTCATTGCTGGAGTGGGAGATGTGCCAACAAAACCAGGTTGTCCAGTATGTTGCCAATTCTTTTGTTGCGGGAACTAAGGAAGGCCAAGTATATGCAGACCCCAAGACAGCACTCTATAGACAGAAGCAATTGTTGCACGCTTTCTTCTGGAATCGCATAATCAGAAACCCTCACGGTAGAAAAAGCTATACCTCACGGACCCTTAGGCACTTTGCCAAGCAGTTGTAGAGATGAATATGTACAAACATATGCAAACATTATATACAAACATGCCCCGAGGATTCCTGAACGGTTTTTTGAGACCATTTGCGCTACATGTTATCACCTAGTGGATCCTGTGGCTGCAACCTTCCACCTCTGTCAGGCTTAGTCGTGGCTTGGTGAGTGTTCCATCACACCACCATCACTCATTGCTCATTTTCTATATGCCTGATTTTCGTGTTGAAAAGGAGAACCACGAACATGGGTCCTAAACACTTTATTTTTAGGGAACAACTTATCCAGAGAAGTTTGCTTGAGCATGAGGTATGCCGCAACCATCTAGGTACCATTAGCTTCAAGTTATGGCTTTGAGCTTGCTACAGTTACCTCCCAACCTGTCTTCACGGCCCACCCTCGCGTTCCCAGTTGAGAAGCTGCAGCTGAGCTTCAGGTGCTGCTGAACTTCTTGAAGCAGCATGGTGCATTGCTCTCCTCCGTTCGCGGGGCACCTCAGGATGCTGGGTTGTGTGCGTGACTGGTTCTCATCAATATCAAAAGGTTCTTGTGCTACTTACCCCAAATTGGGTGCCTTACCTTCCTTCTTCACATCTCTTCTTTTGTTTTCTTCCGGCAGCGAGTTTAGAAACTGGTCAGCAGCACTTGCTACTGTCCCTAAGGTCCGGAGCACTTCTTGTCCCATGAGTACTACCTGCAGTACCAGCAGAGTCTCAATGTGGGCATCACCAGAAGGCGTACGATGGGCACCGGGTCGCGACCACGACCACGACGCTGTTAACCAATCGGTTTGATGGCGGACCTTCGAAGGCAAGTGGACAAGATCTTCTTCCCGAAGAGCATGGAGGTGCCGAGTGGAAGTGATTCAGTGTTTCGAGCGAAGGAAACAGTGGGCCACGTGGGTACCTGTCCACCAGACAAAATGAACGAAGTCTGTATCAAAATCAGTGTGCCAGTTCTTCAAGCAGGGGCTCTGTTGACAGGCCAAGGTGGCCAAGGCATAGCGTTTAAAAGCTTTACTGCAGTGGGACTGCTCTTCAGTAGAAGGATGTCAAGCAATGTCAAGCACATTCTTCGAAGTTGTGCTTGCTGTTGCGACCCAGGGTGTCCACAAGGATATTTGTACGGTCAACCCTCTTCATAATCTAGTGACTACGCTCTCTGGGCACCGAAAACGCCCCTTCCAAAGGATCTACAAAAGAAGCCTCCTCGGTCCAGTCCGTCAGGTGGAGAAGGACACCGAGTCACCGTGCGTTCGTTCCCAACACGGCGCGCACCTCGGAGCCTCGGCACGTCCACCGTGAGGCGTGGTTGACGTCGCTGCTCCAGACGGTGAAGATCTTCCTGCTGAACCGAGTCACACACAAGGTGGGGGGCTTTCGCACGGGTGCTTTGAAGCGAGAAACGCACGGGTGAAGCATCAGGTTCATTTGAAAAGACTCAAAACCACCGAATTCAAAGTGATCCAAAGGATGTTTAGTTGCCAAAGGTTGCCTTAACAATTTGCAGAACACACACACATTGACATACCTCCTCATGCATGAGCACACAGAAGCAGTCAGGCAGCATAGCAAGAGCTGCCTGCATCGAAAAAGACCATTCATAAATGTCATAGGTCTCCGTAGGGCATCGTAGAAACAAGTGCCACGCTAGTAGAAACAAGTGCCACGCTAGTAGAAACAAGTGCCACGCTAGTAGAAACAAGTGCCTTACTAGTCCCGAATGTCATAAGGCCAGACTCGAACCCGCGACACGTCCGCAAAAGGCATTCACTTCCACTGCGAAGGCCACGTCGTCTCGCCACTTGTGTCACGTAGGCTTCACACCTGGACACAGGCGAAGCCAATTCCCTTCGGGCAAACTCAGATTCAACGAATGGCAGCAAAAGAGCCTGCGAAACACCAGTCTCGGTCTCGGTCTCGCCACGGGTCGTGGTCTCCCTGAAGCCTCCGGCGGCGCACTCCGGCACGCCGGCATTTGACCTTTGAGAAGAACGCAGTTCGCACATGTTCACACACACATATATATATATAATATATTGACATGATATTTCATGCTACTATGCTGTTTCATTTTGATTCATTACATCTGAAATTAATCTGCGATTTTGACGGCCAATCAACAAGTTGATGGACGGGAGACGACCCGAAACACCTCTACAACCTCCGAAACACCTTGGAAGACCGACCACACGTCGGACGCGTCGGATGGTGTCCGAGGCCTTCAAGACATTGCCTGGGATGTCGGCCGAAGTGGACCAACCAGTGGGCGCACCCGTTCGCCGGCTCAGATGTGGCGCCAGCGACCAACGAGGTCTAAATCGGATATATAGTTGTGTCAAGAAGTATGAATTACTTGGTAAACTTTGCCGGACTCTTACTTTCCCTTGGCAGACAGATTGTTTTGCGGATAAAGCCATGTTGTTTCAACGCTTTCCAAGACCCGCTATAAACGGGCATGTTTTCGGCGTGTCCAGATGCAAGGTTGGCGTGGATGACATGGACTTGGAGGTGGAGAAGAAGAACAGCCCAGAATTGCAAGGCACAAATGGCGCAGGATAGGAAGGGATCGGGTTTCAAGCGATGTTGTTGGCGATGTTTAGATTGCTTACTGATTGCTTGGTTGGTTGAAGGGTGCTTGGCTGTGCTGCAACTTTGATCAAATGTCAGAACATACACTGTACCTGCGAACTTAATTTATGCTTTTATGTTTGACCAAGATTCCCTGGCTGCTTCACGGTTGAACATTGCTCAAACGCCTCATCGATCTGTAGGTGCCTTGGACCAAAAGTTCTTGGCCGATTCCAATGTCTACAGTGCCTGGGCATGACGCACTGATATCTTTGACTTTTGCTTCTCCAAGGGATTTTGTGTTTGGATTGCAGATGATTTGGGACATTCATGGAGGAATCATGAACCACTTGTGCTCGAACTGACCGATTTCTTGCCCCGACCTGAACAGGTATTTCTGAATGCATTTTGCTGCGGTGGCTGAACTTTCACTTCGCGCTTCTTGGTGGCAGCCATGCCATTTGTACCTAAGATTCTGTGAGACGAATCACAGAGGCACCAAATGGCACCAAAGAAAGAGGAATCACAGGGCCCTTGATCCATAAACCGTGAAAACATGTCCATGAACCGCATTGCTCCAGCTAAACAGCGTTCTTTCCTTATCAATACATGTGGTAGTTGTTTCGGTCCACGTTTGAGAATCTCACACATTTCCACCTCACTGTCGATTTACGGTTTCCACACTATTTTCTTTGTGCATCTTGGGGACCACATACATAGGACTTGTTCAGAAGTTGAACTCGACCAGCCTGGTTGACCTGGCAGGCGTGCAAACAGAGATCGCTACAGCCCTCGCAAGGTTGCTGGGTGGGAGGACTGTCGTGGGTGAGCTCTGTTGATCATCCATGTTGATGATTTGTTGATCCCCTTTACTCTTTGTTTTTGGCAAACCGCGTAGACCTAGCTGAGCTGAAGATCGCACATTGCGCTTGAAGAAGCGTGGTTGAACACTCCTGCAAGACAAAATTCAGGCTATTTATGATTCTTTTTTGAAGATCTTCCTTTCTAATTACGTGCAACATGTAAATATGTGCAGCATAAATTTCCATGGCCGGCATGGAGGTCTGTTGAAGGCATGGAGGCCATCACCTGCCCTGCTCTGTGCCACGGAGGTCTGTTGCTTCGACTCGGACTTGGAGGACTCCATTGTCCTCGCTGTGGTGATCCAAAGCCATGTGCCTCACTGCCAGGCTGGTGGTGAGACAAAGTGCATCCTGGGAAGCCATGAATCCACCGTGTATATATACTTAGGATTTCATATGGTTTCCACTTGATAGCCTTCGATGGGGAGAATCCTTGTCCCATTCCAACGATTTGAGGGACTTGGTCCCATGTTGGATGAACATAAATCTGGGAAGATTCCGGAGGACCTTTTTGTAAACCACTTCTCACCAAGTGTGTGACGCATCACTGCGCGGTCAGCCGCAGGCAGTGCAAAATATGCGCCCGCAGTGCAGCAACCTGGATCACCACGAAGAGAACGTGCCTTTGGCCTGATTTTGGGGTCAAAACTGGGGACCCACCAAAGACTCGCAGTAGATACCAGGGAAAGGACACGAATTCAGCGAAACCCACTCGATTCCCACGTGTTGAGGAGGCCCATTCTGACGAAATCTGAGACCTGCCGAGGCGATGCACATCCTTGCTGCTTTGTCGGAGATTGGACTTCAGTTTCCTATCCAGGCTGGCAGCCTAAGTTTCATCCCCAAGAAGTGGCGCACACTTACTTAAAGGCGTGAAGTAGAGATCCTTGCACAGGCACCTTTTTTTGTTGTGCAGGTGTCCGACATTGCATCGCCGCAAGCGAAGGACCTGCCTGCTTGCGATGTTAAAGCAAGCGCTATTTGTTAGGAGCCATACTAGTGTAGCCACTGGTTTGATGGCTTTGTGCACTGACCATTTCACTGTGCTTTGTGTGTAACCAGATTTGCAGATCATTCCTTCAGGATATGCTCCTTTTTGTGATGTTCCTCTTCCAGAATCTGCCGCATTATGTGCCGAAGACCACCATCATCTTCTCCACCATGCTCGGAGTGTCACTCTCAGCGCTCGTTCTTTCGAGGCGAGACCGAAGCTCTCCGAACCAACTCGGCGAACTCGAACTCTGGATCGGTCATGGTCGGTTGAGGTGAATATGACCAAGAACATCGAGCTCACGAATCCGTCGAAGAAGGCCATCGAGCACTGAAAGAGTCATGAAGAATGAGGAGACTGTTAAGTTATTGTTATTTGGATTGAACGGTCTTGAGAGTTTAGCACGGTGTCGGAGTTGTTGTTGTTGTTGTTGTTGTTATCGTTCTAAAGCGGATCCGTTGTCGCTGCATGTTGTTGTAGAGGCCATTTCTTATGGGGTCCAGCTGGTTGGCAGCGGACACAACAGCGGGAGTGACTTTGCCATCAAGGACGAGATCGTGAAGCTGGAGCCGAGGCGAAACACCACGTGTTAATTCAGCATGGGAAGAGGTCCTTGCGCGGTACTGTGTTGAGTGTGTTGTATCATCTTGTGGGGAGTTTTGCAATTCAATAGATTGGCCCTTAAGCTGTTTGCCCGCGATTGTTCTAAATGAATCTAAGTGAGAAGGACTGCAGACTCGCAGACGATGGCGGTTTCTCCCCAGAGCCACCTGTGACAAGGCAGACGGTGTCCTTCCCCGTGGAATTCCACAGCCGGTTCTCGAGGAGATACAAAAAAGCAAACTCTTCCACGTGCAAGTACTTGTCAGCTGGACAGGTGAAGCAGACGCAGTAGGGGTTGATGGTTGACGCACATAGCAGAATGACTGTGAATCGCACATTACATACTGAGTGCTTGTTTTCAAGGGCAATTCCCAAGTTGCAGGATTGTCGATGAGAAGATCATCTTTACCTCACGGCGAGAGGGCAATGTCAATGCTGCTGCAATGGTGTTCAAGCTCAGGATGACCATCATTTTGTTAGACTTGTCAACGCGCAGTTGTATATTTCATGTCGTAGTCTCCAGATCGTTGAAGAACGAGTCTTGATGGGGAGAGTCTGCAAACTCGAGAAGCGCCATCAACGGCACCTTCAACTTGGCACGTTTGCTAGTTTTTTCATGTACCAAATACAGTGGTTTGAGAGTAGATGGCACAACCCCCAAAAGGTGGTCTATAATGGTTTATGTTATGCATCCTCATCCAAAAGACATTTTGGGGTGCCAGTGCCATCTACTCTGAAACCACTGCAATATGTAAACCGAGAGCATTGACCGCAACGTCTTCGACGCATCGTCAGGAGCCGGTGCACCGGGCGGAAACCGAGAAAGACCATCCAGGTCTCGGCAGTTCTCTATGAGGTTGGCACAGCCCCAGCCTCAGTAGGTGAGAATTTGAGAGAATCTCCTGGTGAAGGTGGTGCTTGCCTCCATAGAAAGATGAAATGGGGGTTGCACAAGCATAGTAAGATAGCAACAGTCACTTTTTTGTTCCACTCATTTGACGAGGCGTTCGAGTCATAGCGTTTTCCTGAAAGCAAGGTGGATGTGGAGCTTGAGAACCCTTTCAACGAGGCCAGGTTGGGAAAGCCGGAAAAAAAGGACCGTAAGGACACTGAGCCCATGAGCAACGGATGCAACTGCAGGTCTGTGTTCTTTTTCTAGGCGCGCGTGATTCAAAAAAAGGACCGAGAACATTGATACACATTCATACGCTTTGAACGCGATGCAGCTATGTAGCAAGAGCCTTAGACCATTTTCTGCTGGGCGGTACTAGAACTGTATGTTTGATCGGCCTCGTTCGGGCGGTGTCGTGACGGTCCGTGTCGCCGACTTGAGGATGCGGAGTTTTCGGTGGCCTTGCGAGAAAGCACCTGTTGCGATGCCGAGAAGCACCCAGTCGGGGGGGGCCGAAAGGTCGGTAGCGTGTTGGGCGAATTGCACAAGCTCGATGAAAGCTCACACATCACAAGAGACTGCTGCAGGGCAGCAAAAAGACATACAAAGTACAGCCCAACATCTTCTTAAGAGTACATGCTCCTAGTGGCGTCCTTGCTCCTAGTAGTACGGGCAGGAGCCCCTAGTAGCTTCTTGCTCCTAGTAGCAAACATTTTGTGAAATGCTGAAGTTGGCTGGTGAAGAGTCTTTTGGTCCACGAGTGGATATTACATGATATTATATATCTGACCGACAAGTGAATCCCCTCCAAACATGCTTTATAGGGTGTAGATGTATTCACACTTGCACTTAGCTTGCGTGTGCAAGTTTTATGTTCACAAAAGACACCAAAATGTCCCACCGGGACATTTTTGCTCAAGTGATTGGCAGTGTGAGCTACACTGCAAGCTTTTGAAACTCGCATTTGCTGTCGCGCGCACAGCTCTACTGGGGAGACCACACCTTGCCCTCGATGCTCAGCACGTTGCTGGGGGTGATGCGAGGGACCCCCAGCAATGTGCTGAGCATTGCGGGCAAGGAGTGGCGAAAGAAGAATGCCCGGGCCGGGGCAAGGATGCCCACCTTTTTTGCAAGCGCGTGGTGTAGTGGGGACGCAGGCCGGATTCGGTTGCCTGTGGGATGCGACAACACAGGCACTGTCTTCAGCCTCCTCAACCTGTCCTCCAAGAAGCAGGATCTATGATGCCTTTTCATGACTCACTACCCATCCGCGATCCCGTGACTGGATCTGGTGGGTGTCCTTCTTGCCCGGTCTCGCCGGGCCCCCTTCCAGGCGCCTCTGGCCCTAGGGGGCCAGGTCGGGTGGGTCAGGCTTTGGGTGAGATATTCTGGACACACCCTGTTTTGAAACATTGCCAACCTTCTGTGAAGTGAACGACCCGGGCCAGAAGACCCATGCACTACTCCAAGCTCCTGTGAGAAAAAAGTTCTGCAGATCCTTTTGGAGCTTGGTTGGGAGATTGGGACGAAAAATAAACAAAAAACAAAACACACTCACATACATATATATATATATATAAAGTGTTTATATTTATATCTATATCTATTGGGCGGACCAGAGGAATCAATCAACCTCCAAAAATTTGAGATTACTACCCTCCATGTTTGCTTTGAGGCTGGGCTTAGTTTCACACGTTTTCTTTCACCCCCGTACTTATGGCACGCAAGAAGTAGAACCACTTGCCCTTGATGCAGCGAATCGAGCTTCAAGGGCTTGGTGGTCGTGGTCTGACAGCTTGTTCTCAACCTTGCGACTTTGGTCTTGCAACGTGCAGCTCTGGTCTTGCAACGTGCAACTCTGTAGTTGGACGAAGTATTGTTTAATGACCAATGTCAACACGTTCTTTCTGTTTCCTTGTTCTACTTGCTTCTCCAGGTGGCCTCGAAGCGTTCCGAAGGCATGGAAGCCTTCTACCTGAGCCCCTTGGTGCAAAGGCCAAGGGATCCCATTGCAGCAATTATTCCATTGGATTTCGCCGGTTGGTTGTTATATGTTGCCCATATTAAAGCTTGATGCACAACTTGCACATGTTCATGCAACATGTGGCTTGAAGTAGTGAGTGCCCCTTGGCCAAGTTTGCTAACCAAAAGAACGGGCCCAGCAAATTGAGTGTTCAAGATGGAACTTGGCTTGGTATGATGACCTTATGATTCTGTCCATACCCCCGTCTCCATCAGTCTGACAGTCGTCACACCGTGAAACCGGTCCGAATCGAAATCAGAATCTGCACTCTGTCAGCCTATCTGAGGCGTCACACGCTGCCGGGTCAAGGCGGGTGGAACTGGAAAGATCACGGTGTCCTTCCTACCCTTTGAGGCCGGTTGGCGTCGGACATCGTCGGACGGTGCGTCGGACGGTGCGTCGGACGGTGCGTGGCGTTTCGCCGATGGGAAGATTGGAACCGGGGCTAGACTGACCTGTCCAGCGCGGGAAAGCGGGAAAGTAGTGCTCTCCCTGTTGAGTGAGCTTTGTAGAGTTTCACAAAGCACAAGAGTCACATGAGTCACGTGAGTCTTGGAATGTGGATAGCTAGCAGGCTAGCAGCTATGGCCACAATTTATTGCAGAGGAGGCTTAGGAGATACTCAAACACCGATTTGCCTGGTCGAATCCTTTCGCACCGCTGCTAGGCGCCAGCACACTTCACTGCTCTCTTGGGAGTCTTCGACTCTAAGGTCTGGGCTGTTGAGGGTGCTTGGTTCGGCATTGAGCCGTTGGACCGTGAATGGACGCTCAATCCATCTCGTACGATCGACTGGTTCAATTTACGACAGACTTGGTGTCATGACACCATCAAGTTTTGATAATTTTTGCCGTGGTAGGGAAGGCAGAGCTGTTTGAGGCAAGCTGGCAATGCCACCAATAAATGGTGCACCAAAAAAGACCGGCACAGGCTGGGGAGTACTACTACGAGCTCTTTGGCACATCAAGTCCACCTTTGCCGCTGGAGAACTACAAGATGCAGGTGAAAGCGGAGGCCTCTGGCACCAAGGACCCGGCAGTCGAGTCGTCACATGTACCATGCCTCAGTACATTTGGCCACATTTCAGCAACTGTCTAATGCAGAACAATGACAAATGACACCCAGTACTTTTTTTAAAATGCTTTTGTTGCATTTTGAAGCGCTTGCAGTGGTCATCGGCGAAGGACATCATTTTGCCTCTGCGAAACATGCAGGCTGGCTGTACTTGAAGCTTCGGGTCAGTCTGCCTTGGTCTTGAGTCTTTATGTTTGATGGGTAGTCATGGGACGGTTGCTACTGGTTGGAATTCTGTTTGTAAAATGCCGCTCAGCCATTGGTGTAAATGGGTATTGGAAGCAAGTGAACCAGCTCTAGCCTCTATGTCTATATTCCTTTTCGCTCAGCTTCTGACATAGAGCTGGTTGCTTGGCAGTTTGAACTAAGTGCCGCCTTTACTCTCAAGGGGAAAAGAGGTCGGTGCGTGACCCGCCTCTACTCTCAGGTGGAACGTGCACGGAGTTGGTTGGAGAGTCGGGGTGCTGGGCCTCGGCCGCTGCCGCCGGATTACATCGTCTATGAACCTTGGCCGCGGCGATTGACGTCTCGTGACATATCGTCGTAAGGAGTCAACGTGTGTTCTTCGAATGGCAGTGTGGGAAGGGCGACTCTGCTCGTGTTATTGGATGTTATTGGTGTCCTTTCCAAACTTGGGATGGCACACATGGAAACAGGCATTCTCATACCATGCACGCACCGGACCGGAAGAAGCGATGGCACAGTGTGATTGACTATGCGCTTATCACTGGCCAGAAAGGAAGGAGACTGGATGATCCCCCAAAGTGCGCTTGAATTGAACGGAGCTGGCCAACACAAGCCCTTGCGCTTGGACGCTTGGACGCTCCCCCAAAGCTGCAAGTACTGCAGCCCGTTAAGGATGTGAAGGTTTCATCGCCTTACTACACAGCACCCAAGCAGGCCGGACAGGGGACACGAATGGACACGAGGGAGGGTTTGCTGTGGGGTCTGACTGGACTCGGCAATTTTGGTTGGAGGATTTGTATGAGTTGACAGATCTTGAAGATGCCTGTGTCACTGACCCCCTTCCTTTCCCTCACTTCTTTACTTGCATCATCTTCATTTCGAGGAAGATAGATGTGCTTGCCAGCAGACATTCCCGGTCAGAACGCGGTCCAACGAAGCTAGACCGCTTTGCAGGTTGTGGTGCACAACGGACAGGCTGTGAACAGAGAAGTCGCGCCCCTGGAGAAGTCTCTGAATGGGTCAGGCGAAGACCTTTACCTCTCTCAGCTTCGCGTGGAGCAAGTCTGAAGTTGCAAAACCGCGTTGATGGGAAACAACCTTCGGCATGTTTGGACAACTGGACTTGAAGTGTGCTCAATATTTTGCCTTGTGAGAATGTATTTTGGTACTGTTCTGAAGACCCGGGAATGCTTCCAAGGGCAAGGGTGACGGAAAGGGTGCAAGCCGCAGTGGTACAAATGGTGCCTTGGAGAAGGCAACGGGTGTCGCAGTTGCCTTTCGAATCTGCAAACGACCACGAGGGAGAATGGAAGAACGAACACTCTGCTCATCTTTGTTCGTTTGCTATTGGGAATGGTGACTTGTCTGACCCTGTGTGGGATCTTCAGAGTGTTTCTGATTCTAGATTTAGATCTGGCAAGCGTTTCAATCAGCAATGACGTGTAATATATATATATATTATATACATTCGTTATTATTCGTGGGCTCAAGATTTTGGCTCAAGGGACAGGTGGCTCAAGCACTTCGGCTTGGGTTCTACGCTTCTTCTCCGAGCAGGTCCCTGACGAGGTGACGGGTGGCCCCAGCCCTTTCTACCTCATGAAGTACTATGCTTGGACCCGACAGTATCAGGTCTGCAAACACCATGGCTGTGGCAACTGGATTTGGGAGGACAAGATCTGCGAAGGCTACACATGTCGCAAATGTGGCCAGAGTTGGGCCAAACCGGCGGCTGGTTTTCAACCACGATCCCCTTCCAGGTCCCGCAGCCGGTTTGCTCCTCGACAGAAGCCGGTCACACCACCACCGGGTTTGGGGAGTACCAGGCCATCCAAGCTCACACAAGTGCACAAGGCCACAACGGATCTGCTTCGATCCTCTTGGACCACCTTGGATTCCAAGTTACAGGAGCAACTAGAGCACTTGGGCATCAAGCCCACACCTCCAAGTGCAGATCCAGATGACCTGACTCACGTGCTCAAGGAGAACATGGCCCAGTTGCCATCAGCGGTCAAGGAACTCGTTGAGCGCATCACCAAGCCACCTCCAGAGACCGAGAAAGACATGGCACTCAAGCTCAAAGCTCAAGTCTCAGCCTTGCGGGACCTTTCTCACCGCAAGATGATTCTTCAGCAAAAACTTGACACAGCCAAGAAAGCGTATGGAGACATGCTTGAGGAGATGAAAGGGATCCAAAGTAAGTTGGAAGCAGAACAAGGGGCCCTGAACTCCACAAGTGCGACATACATGGAAATGGTGAAGACCACCAAACCGGTCACTGAACTTCAGGATGGCGAAGCCATGGAGGACACTGTGCCGGATGCCGTGGCGGGGTTCATTAATGCCCTGGGCGTCAGTTTGACGCCTGATCAGAAGGCGCAGCTCACCACGATGCTGAAACGCCCTTCGTCAGATGCGTCAGATGAAGACAGCAAGCACCGCAAAACAGCCGAGGAGCTCCAGCAGTGCGGGTAACAGGGCCACGACAGCGGCTTTTGATTCCTTTTCCTCTTCTGATATGACAGGGGTTGCTGAAACCTTTCAGCCTGGGGACATTGATCAAGTGAGTTGCAGGGTTACAGCCAACTCGGTTGGTACTTTTGCAGCGTGGGGCTCGAACCAGGTCCTGTTAAGTCACGGGGGCTATGGACCTTGGAGAGATCCTCATCCTTTCAAACTGAGGGGGGTGGTCTTCTCCCTTCCACTCAGACGGGGTTGCAACCAGGGAGCTCAGGGGCACCGAGCTCTTCTACGTCAGTGCAGGTCCCCAAGGACTCTGCAGCTCACGGGACCCCACAGGCTCGCCTGGTTGCACTTTTGATGAACATCATGGACGAGGACCACTGCATCCTTCGTCCTCCTTTTTGACTCCGGGGCAACAAGCCCTGTATGCAAGAAAGACCTTGATGCTTCGAGGTCGGATTTTGAGGCTCATTGGACAATCGTCAAAGGACAACAATTTCTGGTTGATCTACGCAGAATGGAGAACACGCTCCACAAAATCCTAGCTGTTCAAGGTGACGTTCCTCACCTTGCCACCAATGTTTATGTGGTGGCCCAGGCTCTGACGAGCGTCCTTCGAAACCCGCGCAACATGTGTTTCGGGAACTCCGTCTTCCGTTGCTGGAGTTGGGCCGGGGCGCATGCAGAGGGCCAATCGATCGCATGGGGCCGCACTCATGAAGCGGTTCGTCAATTCCTCTCAGCGGATCAACCATCACATTTGCAAGAGCTCACGCAGATGCATCATGTCCTGCAGCACTTCCAGGAAGGCCGCCAGGCCGACATCGGTGACTTCGCAGGGCATTTGTGGAGTTTCTCCGAAAGCACTTTCTATGGAGGCAAATTCTTCCACGTTCATGCCGATAGGCGGTTGGAGGACAGAGAACAGATTCCCCTGAACATGATGTTCCCTAATGGGGAGACACCAATTTCGCTGGATGAGGTGGTCAACTTATGGGCCAATGAAGACGGAGGTCAGTACCTCTATCGCACCCCTGATGGACTCATCTTGCACCTCCAGCGATCCGCCCTCATTCAAGGTCAATGGACCAAGCATGAAAGAGCCCTGGAGTTTGGCACCAGCGTCAACATCCCTTTTTCGGATGATGGCATCCATGTGCACCAAGCCACCTACCGGATCGTCAGCCTGGTGCTTCATCAAGGGCGTGGACACGAAAATGGTCACTATGTCACCATTCATGCAATGGACAATGCGTATTGGCTGGCCGATGATGACCAATATCCACAACCTCTGGGGCAGATCACTACGCAACAGGAACAGGAAGTGGTGCAGCTCTGGTTGATCCATGATCAGCAGGAACTAGTCCCGGACACGGTCGACGCCTTGCAGCCTAGCCAGGCCAAAAGGGCCAAACATCACTATGAGACTCTTCATCTCATCTTCGCCAATGTTACCTCCTTTGGGGGGAGAGTGCAAGATTGGATCTGGACCAAAGGCGACCACCTGCTGTTCCTCCAGGAGACGCATTTAGGAGACAAGAAGTTGGCTGAAGTGCAGCAGTATTTCAATGCCAGGGGCTGGAAAAGCCATGGAGTCGCTGCCACCAACACTGGCCGGGGAGGCAACACAGGTGGCTTCCTCACACTTCACGGCTCCAGGCACATCACCCACTTGGATCACTCTTACACTTTAGAGGGGAATGGGTGGATGTCCGTTGGACTCCAGAGGCACGATAGCATGATTTTCATCATCCAGCTGTACCTCAAGACTGGGGAGACTCTTCAATCTGCCTCCAACGCGGACATTTTGGGCTCTCTCCTCAACTATTTGAGTCACATCGGCGCTCCCTTCATCCTGCAAGGGGACTGGCAGAATGACCCTGGAGCCCTGGCGGCCACTGTCATTCAAAGCAAATTCAGAGCTGAGATCATGGACACCAAGGGCCCCACCACTCTCCAAGGAGCACAACTCGATTACCTCTTGGTGTCCACTTCTCTGGTGCACAGCCTCACTCTCGCTGCCAATTGGGAGGTTCCTTGGAAGCCACATTGTGCCCTTGAGGTGACCTTCAACTGTGACTACGCCGCCATCCCGGTTCAACAGTTGCAGAGATTTCCACCCATTGGGCGCGCACATGCTCTACCAGCGGCTTGGACCAGTTTCTGGGAAGATGATGGCCCTTTTCACATCATGGGACAGGCTATCACGGGTCTTGGGTCTGATTTCGCTCGGTGGGCCACACAAACGGAGAAGTACTTGACTCAGCTACTTCACAATCCCACCACTGGCAGAGGCTCCAAGATCTCCATCTACCAGGCACCTTTGGTGGACCACGCCAGGTCCCAAACCTGGAAGAAAGGGTCAGTGGCTTATTGGGACAAAATGAAGATCCGGATCAACATTGTGCATCAGTCCCAACCCACCAGGGTGGCACAAGCTCTTCTCAATATGTTGGACACTCTTCACCAACATGCTTCCGACCACATGAGCCAAGATTTGTTCCGTGCGCTGCTGACGCATTGGATACAACATCCTGAGAATGAACCATTGGAGATCCGACGCATCATAGCTGAGGAAGAGCAGACAGCTCACAAAGCCATCTTTGCCACCACCACTGAGGAGTACAAAGTTTGGCTGGAGAAAGCTCACCAGAAAGGCCTACGGGGGCTGTTTCGTTGCCTGCGACAAAAGGATGTTCCGTGGCAACGACCTCATCAACATCTTCCCTTAGAACAGCGCCAAGCAGCAAGACAGCAGCAATGGGAGGACATTTGGCATCCCCGAGCTGACCCACGGCCACTTCGACAATGGGACCTTTTGCACCAGGCAGCTCAGGATCAAGCGCAACAGTTGCCACCCATCCAATCTCATCTATTGGGTCAAATGCTCCGGCGCCTCCCCAACAAGGCCGCGGGTCCTGATGGGATATCCTATGACTTCCTGAGGCACTTGCCCTACCCTGCAGTGGCCAAACTGGCGGGTTTGCTCACTAACATGGAGCGGGAAGCAGAGTTACCCATCCAACTACGGGTGACTAACATCGTCCTCATTCCCAAGAACGACAGGGTGGAGCGGCCTATTGCCCTCACCGAAAGGCGGACCTCCAACGGTGGCAACTTTCCCTGGATGAGAACCTCCCACGGGATCAGGCCAGACCTGGCAAGGATTGCTTGAGCATTGCCATTGGACGCATGCTGCGCGCAGAGATCGCCAAACACCAGGGCATTCACACTGTCACCTGTTTGGCTGACCTTACGTGCTTCTATGATCATGTAGACCTGGACGCCATCATTGAACCAGCCCGCGAACTTGCCTATCCACCTCTGCATCTGAAGCTGGCTCTTGACCTTTACCGTGGTCCCAGGACGCTTCAAGCTGAAGGCATCAACGGTGACCCCAAACACTATGATCGAGGCATTTTGCAAGGGCGCCCTCAGGCGCCGGCCATCTCTAAGCTCATCTTGTTCCGGCCGCTCAAGACTATGGTCACCGAGCATCCAGCAGCAGCGCTTCAGACTTGGGTTGATGATGTTAGTTTTGACGTCCATAGCCGAGATCCTGATTTTGCTGCAAGAGAAGCTTTGGGGGCCTTCCGAACGCTTCAGACCCAAATGGAGCTAGCTGGTTTGAAGTTGAACACGGACAAGACAGGGTTCTTGACAAGTTCAAAAGAGGCAGCTCGAGCTTTGAAAGCCCTTCTTCGTGACGGAGATCCTGAACACTATGATGTCCTGAGGGACCTTGGAGTGGACTCCACAGCTGCTCGCAAGAGGAGGGTCACCCAGATACGCAAGAGATTCTTGAAGGGCAAGGGCAGAGTGGGCATCATGCATCGCCTCCGCATCAGCACTGGCATCCGCTATCACCTTCACAAAGGGGCGATCCATCCGGTGATGTCCTGGGGAGCCCAAGCAAATGGACTGGCGCCACAAAGACGCCAGCAACTCCGTGTCCTGGCCGCCAGAGGCTTACGATTGCAACGCTCAGGGTCTGTTGATGTGGTCTTCGACATGCACAAGGATCAGCCAGATCCAGGAGATTCCATCATCATGCAACATCTGCATACAGTTTGGAAGGTGTTTCATGGATTTGATGAAAGCAAGCAGCACCTTTTCTGGTCTAGCTGGAATCTGGCCTTAAACTTGCAGAAGGCCAAGTATCGTTGGCAGGTGGTGACGGGCCCGCTCCAGGCACTTCAAGCCTACATGATGGATCTGGAATTTGATGTCTCCAATGGCCACAAATGGAAGCGAACAGGCTATGGTGGCATCCCTGATTGCTACATTTCCTTGATGGATCCATGGCCATTGATTCACTCCCAGATGCAGACTGAATTTCGTTGGCAGCGGTTGTTGAGATTGACACGTTATGAAGGCTGCCACGACATGGAGAGACCATTGGATTGGATGATCAGTCAACACATCCAACGAAGCACCAGTGAGGAGATTGCCACAGGCCTACGAGCTTTGCATCAAGGCACTTTGCATGGCATTTCTGGTCACTGTCCCTTGTGCGGAGTTGACTTGACCTTTGTGCACCTTCTTTGGGAGTGCTCCTTCTGGAAGGGGCGGACAAAGGCTTTGCCGGCGGAATGGATCTCCAGACTCAACTTTGGGACGGATCCGGAATTGTGGCAACGGGGCTTTGTGCAAAGCCTCTTTTACGAGCCTGAAGAAGGTCTTGCCACCATCGAAGGCACAGGCCTCTGGCAGGACTTGGGATTTCTCAAGCATGACAAAGGGCACATTTGCTCCATTGCTGTGGCACCTACCTGTGGTGACAAACGCCACAGAAGATTCGCCTTTGCGGTTTGCGTTCACCACACCAAAACCAGACAGCAAATCGCATCCATCACTGGCATCTGCCCTGCGCCGGCCACCCGACGGAGAGCCCTCTTCTATGCCTTAAAGCAGATGGCTTTGCATGTGGTGGAGAAGACACCAGTTGCTCTGTATGATGTCAAGTCCTGGCAGACCTGGAAGCCGCATGTCGCCTTCGAGACCTTCCCTGATCTTTTCCCAGGGCTCGAGTTTGAGGATTTCGACCATGTGTGGCCCCTCCTTTTCTCCACCAAGGAGCTCCAGCAGAACGAATTGAGGAGGGTTACTCAGAAGGACACCCAGAAGTTGGCTTCAAAGACGGGCAAACTCTTCGAGCCCACGGAGATCCTGGACATGCAAGCTCATGTTGACAATGATGCGCATGAAATCCTCTTGCAGGCAGGAGAGCGTATGAGCATCTTGCTACGCCACAAAGACCATTTCCTGCACCAGAAGGACAAGGTCATGGAGACCAAAGTGCCTCTGTTGCACCAGAAGAAAATGATCCTGGCCGACTTATTGGTCAAGGAGTCGAGTGCGGGTCATGCCTGGGAGGCCTTTCGAAGTGGCATCCAGTGTCGCCACTGCAAGCTCAGGTATCACACCAAGAATATGCTGGAGGAGCTGAAGGATGCCAACGAACGGCCGTGTGAGAAAGCTCCAAGATCCACACCTCCGAGGCAAACAAGAATGGAAATGATTCATGCCCTTGTGGCCTCGCAACAGGCACCTCAGCCGGGCATTCACCACTTGAAGTTGGACCGTGCTTACCTTCGATGCAGTGAATGCAAAAGCTACATTTTAGCGAGAACCAATGAAGAAGCCTTCAACAAGTTCATGGCCGAACCATGCCATGTGGGCCCTGTGCCGCCTGACGAATGGCCCGGGCACAGCTCCCACACCATGATGCGCAAGGGCACTTCGTTGGAATGCAGCCGATGCCACTCCAGAACGCGCACCACCGACGGTGACATCAAGATCACAACCCGTTTGGCTGCCAGATGCGTGTTCCAAAGGAACAAAGATCTGAGACAAATGTTCTCATGAGAGCCGACAGATGGAAAAAGACGTGCCAAAAAAAAAAGTTATTAGTCGTGGTTCCTGTTATTTACTTGGCTTACAAGACAATGAATCGCAAGACATGTCGAGCTCCCTGTCAGAAGGTTTGGGATTGGAGAAATTGGACCTTGGAGCAGATCGTTTCGATTGGCTTTGCCAGGGAGATCGTCGAAGCTCGGCAGTGGCAAAGGCGATTGGACTTCCACAGCAGGCCTTGAAGTGAGTGATCTGCACCAGAAACTATATTTTACAATATTATACACAATTACAGTATATTATATTAACCAAGGAACCATAGGGATTTTTTGTTGGATTTGATGGAGAAGCTCTTGTGCAGTGGATCAAGAAGACGGGGACTGGCCGCGGCCATCAATTACTGTTTGCTCTTTGCTTTCTCCCCTTTTTAAGGACTTCGGCAAGTTGTTGACCACATCCGGAAGCTATCGTAGGTTTGAGCAATAGGCCATAGACAGACAATTTTTTTTTCCTTATTGTCCCTACCGTTTGATGTTTTTGGGGGCTGAGATTGGCTCCATGAGGGGTGCACGATTTCAGCAGAATGCCTTTGAACTTCCACCTGACGATGCGGCCTCCAGGTGGCCAAGTTGGTGGTGGAGTTTTGGCCCAAGGACTGCGGCCGCTGCTTTTTTTTTTTTCGTTCTTTGTAAGCATGTAGCGTAATCTTAATTCAGGTCATTCAGGTCAGGTATTGTATTGTCAGGTGAGGTACGTCAGTATGCTGCGGCATACTGTATCGGTGGTGGCTATTTCAGGAACTTTTGTGGAGATGCACTGGAAGGTTGACGCCTTTGTGTCCTTTGTTGCTCTTGTATAAGTCTTGGACACCCGGGAAACCCTGCCAGTTTTATTCAACTTTTGCCGCTTTCATGGAGCCTCTTCAGCAAGAACCCTGATCCCAAGCAGTTGCAGAGTTGGGAACAAAACTCTTCAGCACTCAACGATCGAAATTGAACCCGAGTCAAATTTGAGAATCTGGGCTCTTTTGAGGAGCCGGGTGTCTACCCCTGCACAGTCACACTCACTTCCGACATTGACATCCGCATCTATCAGTTCGAAGGTGCCAGCGACGGATGTATGCAGTTCATGGTTCAGGCTGTTTGTATATAGCTATTCAGGGGAGACCTCTTTAAAAACCTGGTGAACCTTGCTGGCATAGTGACAAGGGTGGGTGTAGTCACAGTCGTGACAAGACCAAGGCAGGTAGCAGGTGCGATTGCAGTAGCAGGTCGACCATGGTTTTTCCCTGTAGAATGACAAATCTGATCGGACAGATCTCGATTCGTCCTTGTGCAAGCTGGGACTTCATCGCTGGCGAAAACAGATATTGTACTCTTGTCAATATGGCTGTGAGTCAAAACCAGGATTTCTTTGTTGACCTGCCGACGTCACTTGCGCTCCAATGTCTGTGCTTCCCCAAGTCCTTCACCTCTTGGTGGGTACTGGGGAGTTGGGTAGAGTATCTGCAAAACATGCATTATACAATGCTCACAAAACGTCAAAAAGCTACGTGAGACCGAATATCCGCGCACTTGAATGTAACGAGATCAAGCAACTAATTCGGGGGCGGGGGAAGGTTGACCTGCCTGGAAGGTCCAGGTTTTGACCCATCGCCATACAGTAACTCTCTAAAATTGCACAAGACAGGAGATCCCCTTCGGCCACGAAAACTGCCTCAAGGTACTGGCACGGCTCCCAACACACATTGCTCATTGACGTTTACCACACAAGCCAGGCCGCTGTCTCGGATTTGACAGAATACTGAGTTTGGACAGCAGAAGAGTGGTGGCGGTATTTTTTCCACAACTGCCTGGGTGAGACTTTGCGAACCACTTTGAAAGCCAGTTGTTCGCCTGAGGAAGGCCATCACACAGGAGAGGGAGGGCTGAGAAATGCTACTGTGTGAACCACTGTTGGTTTGTTGCAGAGTGCGGTTGGTTTCGTCATTTGATGCAAGACTGCAGCCGCGGGTGAGACCACCTTGGGCTTTTGCAAATGGAAAAGACAATGGAACAAAGGGATCTCAGAAGCCTCTTGGTCTTACTCTACTTAAGAGAACCAAATTAGGTAAAAATCACATTGGGCCTCAAGAGCCCCCATATACTATAATTTGAGTTGGTTCACTCCATTTGTACTGATCAAACTAAATGAGCGAACACAACAGGATCAGTGGCACTGGTGTGCGGTGCGCGGAGCTGCTAACAACGGTGCAATCTTGTTTTCTTTCTCCTGGCCATAACGAAGTTAAGCAACGCTTCGTTAGGTTATTTGGCACAATGACCCCAGGCCTGTCATGCAACCGACTTGGCTTGTGGACAGTGTGGATACCTTGGGACACCATTGGATTGTGCCCATGCACAGCGATAGCAGGAGATTCCCATCGTCAACCCCACAGACAGAGAATGGGCCACTTGACTGAGAGACCAGCGGTTGCAGTATGTTTTCTGCTGACACTGCATGCTCGAACCTTTTGAGCGCCATCGGAGCAGTGGCCGTGTGAAAAGGAAGGGTGACAGGTGTCTCCCAGATTTGGTTTTTGGGAACATCTACAGGAAAAACCGTAGTTTTTTTTTGGGGTGAGCACCATGGATTTCTGTAGATTTCCCTTGCATCAAATCCATTTGAGTGTAACATGCTGTAGACCTGACGGCCAAGGCGATCAAACCCACCTTCTCTCAGATCGGTCATGAGTTTGATGGACCTCGAGAATTCATCGCCAAGAAGAAGGGAGCAGAGACCTCAGTTGAAGACCTTGTTTAAGTAAAATGTTCAAAATATTTCTATAAGTTATTTCTATGTGTTATTGAATCTATAACTTTTATTTTTCAGTATATTTCTAAAGATAAATCGGTTCTTCAGTCCTGTCTCATGTCCAAGCTTTCTGGCCCACTTTTCTCGACCACGGGACACAACTTGACAACTTGTCGTGTTTTTGATGTGTTTTGTTGAGGCCACGGGACAGGCCACTGTCACCACCTATCCGCTGACCTTTAAGCCAGATTGGGTTTGTGACGTCAAGGCCTGGGGAGTCAGTGACGTTGGCCGTCGGCCGTCTTCGATGTCGCGTTTCGTTTCGACGTTTCGGATGAGATGGAGGAGAGGACTTTGGAGATTTTGGAGTATGTTACCTGTGGATCCTTAACATGGCTCAAGATTGTAGGATTGATTCCAGTAATCACTGTGTTTTCAGTGTAGAAGAAAGCTGGATAACATAGCAAAGGAGAGGACGCTACAAAGGGCATCGCTACTAGGAGCAAGGACGCTACTAGGGGCTCCTGGCCTTACTACTAGGAGCAAGGATGCTACTAGGAGCAAGGACGCTTGTCGCTGTTCTTTTGTTAATATAGACGTGCGAACAGAAGGCGGAAGAGGCCGCCTCGCAGCCTCGCACGCAGGCTCAGCTGGTCCTTTACAATGTGGGCACCAACGAGACTTACGAGTTGCGGGCCAAGACCGCGTGACTATATACAAGCTGTTACCCGCCTAAGTCTGCTAAGTAAAGTAGAGCTGAGTCAGTCAAACGATAGATGAATGGGACAAACTGTATTTGGATCGCGCTTTTCCTCCTTTGCGCATACACGGCCGACGTCCTTTCGTTGAGGTATGACCTGCATGGGGTTGCGGAAGAACCGCTGGCGGAAGAGCATGTGGTGGTGAAGTGGGAAGACTAAGTGATTTATGGACAGATATGACAGATACAGTATGTGTCTAGGCTGCTGCGCTTCACCTTCCTTGGACAAGTTGCCTTTGACATGATTCCCAGGTGAGCAGACTAGCAAACCCAAAAGACCTAAGTTGTCATGCTGATGCCCACAGTCACGCCTTCGGATTACGTAGGTTCGGCAGAATGCATGCTGCATGAGTACTTTCCGGATGAGTTCGACCAAGGTGTGAAGCGCGTGAGAAGACCTCCCATGTGTTCCAGGCGCTGCACGATTGAGTAGAGTGATATGAAATACATTTTCCAGTGAAACCAGCAACTCTGAAGCAAATCTATCTATATAGCGTCGACCAGAACGCATAAGAGTGATGACAGTGATGACCTTCCACGGGGTCTTTGGGTTGTGAAGATATTGAGCACATGCAGCAAAATATTGGTCTGTGACCGTATTGGGTCAAAAAAAACACAAATTGATACACAAACAAACCATATATCATACGAGTCATATCAAAGAATCATATTGGGCCCTGCGAGGTGAAGAATCACTCCAACCTCACGGCGGCCTTTGAGGCGAGCATCCTGCGACCGTTTGAGAATCGGTGCTTCGCCGGTACTGTAATTGGTGATAGAAACCGCTTTGGTGACAGGAAATCTAATAAAATCTAGAATGTTTTGTAGCTTGAAGGAGCAAGGAAGCTACATTACTAGACAGGGACGCAGAGCTGTCAAGGAAGCTGGCCCCGCGAGCTTGGTCGGGGGGGGGCGCCTTCCTTGAAGCTCTCGCATGATTGATTTGGCTTCAGAATTCAGGAACTTATGACATCTCAACTCCTGCTCTTCTCATGGATCTGCTTGTGATGTATTGAATCAGCAGCAGAGTTTGCGACGGATTCCCTTGGTCAATATGCAGTGGATTCTTCTTCAAGGCTCCCGAGCTCAGTGCTGCACACATTCGCGGCCCTTGAGAGCGCATTCGTGGTATCGTGTTTGGGTTCGCATCGTGCTGGGCTTGGCCCAGCTCGCGGACACGTGCGTGCTGTCCCGGGACCGTCGACCCTCGAGCGCAGGTCGAGAGCGATTTGGTGCACATCTCTGGACCCTCTTCCATTCAGGTGCAAGTGGTTGTTTATGTTGGTGTTTTTGATGGGGGTTGGCGTTTTTGAGCTTAGCCGCAGCGTTCTCTCTACGGGGTTGCTTGACATGTTCGAACATGATGCCAAGTGAGATGGAGAAGCAACTCTGTTTTGCCACTTGCCGCTAGGCCAAGGAAGGCATATCAGCGTGTCTAGACTTCCGAAAGCAAGGTATATACTATTTTTTGATACCTTTTGGCAACTTCTTCTTCGTGTCCATTTTTTGACTTTTCACATCCCTCCAGTTTCCAGTTTCTTGTTTACAGGCCCTTCCCATTCTTATTGTTTCAACGTTTGGTCTTCAATTCACTGTTTAAACAGCAACAGCAACAGGCAACGGACATCCGCACATGTTCTTGTTTCATTTTCTTTAAAAGAACATGCACCGACCTCCGATGGAGACCACCACCTTTCCTCACCCGACTCACCTGACTCCTGGCTGTTCATTTTGTCTCGCACCAGCGGCCCAGTTGCGGCCCAGCGGCCGCCGTTTCCGCGAGCCCGGGCCAGCGGTCGCAGGTGGATGGTCGAGGCACTGGTGACTACGAGTTGACCTTCCAGCCGCTGCAAGCGGGTCAGGTCACAGGTGGGCAGTGCCATTTGGCAGGTCTGCGCACGGTGCTTTAGGAGCCCCTAGTAGCGTCCTTGCTCCTAGTAGTAAGGCCAGGAGCCCCTAGTAGCGTCCTTGGAGGTAGCGAAAAAGGATGACAACTGCTGTTTGACTGGCCATGTTCTAGAGAGCACTTCAAATCGCCAGCACCACGAATGCCTATGTTGCCAGGCTGCATCATTTTCCGCGACACTCACACCGGACACTTTACCTGGTACACTGTACTTTGTCTGCAAGCCTGTGGCCAACGTGAGCTTTGCGATGTCATTTTTACTGTTTGACAATGGCACTGCCCTCGAGAAAAGCTTGACCAGCGATGGTGATTCATGGTGATGTCTGCTTGGCTCCTCCGGTCCAAGAGAGGTAGCCAGTGACCTGAACCAGGACCCCACTAAGTTATCTATGGGATAATCCCAGGGTCCGGCCCTTCAACCTTTGTTTATTACGTCGCTTCTCTCAGGTGGAGCTGATGACATTGCCACCCAAGCCACAGCAGCATTTGACGTTGACCTGCGTGGTGCGACAGGCGCGAAAGGAGATAGAAGCATGAAGTCTCAATGTAGAATGAAACAAAGGGGACTTGTGAAGGTATCTCCTTGCTACACAGTTGAGTCAAGAGAGAGAGAGAGAGAGAGAGAGTACAGAACTCGTTTTGAAGAGTATACAGTCCCATCACGTTTTTCACCCATCCCATGCACTGCCATGTCTTTCTCCCAGGCTGTGGCGGTGGACATCCAACTGGTAAACCCACTGGACGATGTCGTGGTTTTCGAGGTTGCCTTGACTGGTGATGGCTTGCTGGGTGAGGCGCCCCATAATTGAAGGGTGAGGACGCTGAATCTCAAAAGCACAACCTAAAACTGGCTGGATTGCAATGAGCTTCGAAATGGTTTGACCATGTTGGCATCAGATGCACAACATCAGTGGTGCAGCTTGATGACATGAGAGGTGCCTCCGTTACAACTGCAACATACTGCAACTAAATCGTGCTTGGAAGAAACATGACTCAGTGATTTAGCAATTTAGCATGTCTGCTTCACGTTCGTTGGGACCCCTCAAAGGACAAGTCACTCACTCTCGATGAAAGACCTTTGGATCCAGAAGTGGAGAGTCCAAGAGCGAGCGGCTCGACAGGCCGAGTTTGTACTGGCCCCAAAGGAGACGGCCACATATGAACTTGCAAGGACCTCAGAGTTGAGAGCTCAACCAGTGGAGAAAGTTGAGTGAAGAAAGCGATGGAAAGAAGTTCATGAGTCACGCGCTGAAGACCACTGCTGTACGCATCACACCTGAGATTCCGCTACGCCATTGTTTGCCTTAGGTCTTCAGCCCTCTATTGCCAGCCAGAAGCAAGGGCACAGCCGTATTCTTCAATGAGATCGTAGGCCAGAGGTTTCACCACTGAGAAAGGATGCAATGGTGCGAGTTTTGGGGTCTTCTCACTCAGGCAGTCCTTTAAACTTTAAACTCATCGGCAGGGTCACTTGATATATAGATACTTAGATACTTTAGTTTCGAGAAGATTGAATTTGATTGAATGTGGCGGAACCGCCTGGAAGCATGGACAGCGAATCCATGGTATGCCCAAAGTGAGGTTTCCCTTGCACCGCCAGGTGAGTTTTGGTATGATCTTAGCCTGCTTGCGGAAGCTGCGCCTGCAGAGGAAATCGCACCCTTAGAGTGTGAACTTGGCAGGCGCGGATCGCGGACTAGTTGCAGAGGGGTGGATGGAGCAGCCTCACTTTGACGGTCTGGAACAGCATGGGGCCGGGCCCAGGTGGGATGTCACTGGTACATCATTGTTCGATATGAATGGCCCTGGTCCGCAGAGGTTCGTATTTTGCTTCGATCTCGGCACACCAGGACTGCGCAGACCGTGGTCCACATCGACAATCCGACTGGGCAAGAAGTGGTAGCATGCCCAGTCCAGACGAGATCACTGCGCAGGAAGAGCCTTTGGACAGTTTTCTCCGGCTGGTGGTTTGAGATTATGGTTATGTTCAAACCTTTGCATTGGGATGATTTTTCACCCACTGACCTACTGTTATATATTTTTTTCACCCACTGACCATATATATATATATATATTAAATTTTTAAACCACCAGGCGCAGTTCTTGCTTTAATAAAGATGAGGGCCAAACTTTTCAGACTAACTACAGACTGCTTCGGCCTTTATGCACCAATCATTGCTTCGGTGCCATAGGGCCACATCTTCTTCACGATGTTCAGTTACATGTTCACGATATGCCAAACTCTTGGAGCCGTCAAACGCTGCGTCCAAGGGCTTCGAAAAGCCGTCTTTGGTCTTCAAAAAGGAGCCGTTTTCACGACGTGAACGACATCTCTCTAAGGTCCTCAAGCATCGATCGACCAACAAGATCAACTTCAAGGCACCGACCGACCGCCCCAGACCGGTCTGTGCCACGTCGACCTGGTTCCAGGTGGTGTAAGAATGACAATGTGGTTCCAAGGTTTTGGCAAGGTTTGGATGTGTTTGGCGTCATTTCAAGAAGCACTGTCGAAACCAAGATACCATAAGATACCCTTTTTCCAAATCCATGAAGCCTTGGAATGCGTTGCTTGAAACGCTGCAGGTCTTGAACAATCGGGTAGTGCTTCCACCGTTGGAATCCACGGACATTACCATAGAGTACAGCCCGTCCTCGCTGGGTGTCTTGGCCAGCACTGGCAAGGTTCTTTTATTTACATTTGGTGTAACTAGACCGGCAGGGAAGTTGGAAGCGCATGCAACCACAGCTTCTGGTTTTCACGGTTCTTGTTCTTGTCTTTTGAACACTCTTGGTATTGCCTTCCCACTTTGTGCTGAGCTACCTCTGCTCAACATTGTATGATGGCAAGCTTGTGAGAAACCAACTACAATGTCAATGTGTCTCTTTTCATCGCTACAAAGGGTACTTGTACGACATGGCGTGGAGAAGCGCATTCTACAGACCAGGCAAACTGCAGTGCACGCTTCCAAACAACCTTGGGAATTTTCGCCCAGTCGAACGTCATTTGCTTTGTGCAAGCGACCAGACCTGGGCCGGGCCAACCATGTGTCAAGGTGTGACGGAAGAAGCGCAGATTGTCTTCGAACACCCACTGGTGGGACAGTGGGTCTACAAGGCGATCGCTCATTGCTGACCGCCGAGCGGTCGCTACGTGGTGCTATGCGGTCGCTACGCGGCGCCATGCGGTCGCAGCGGTGAGGGAGCTCCGCACGGGATGAACCAAGTGTTAAAGAACAGAAACATGCTCTAGACATGTAATTATCCAGGTGTGTAAATACCTTTGGCTATACCTCCAGCCATGATTTTAGGGGACTCTTGGACTTGGACCCACAATTATATAGTAGGTAGATGATCCCTTGTGGACGGTTCCATGGTGGATTCCAGGAGTTCATCGTTAGTAGCGTCCTTGCTCCTAGTAGCAATGCCCGGGTTCCTAGTAGCGATGCCAGGAGCTACTAGTAGCGTCCTTTGCTCCTAGTAGCGATGCCCCTTGCTCCTAGTAGCGTCCTTTGCTCCTAGTAAGGCCAGGAGCTACTAGCAGCTTCTTGTTCCGTGCTCTCTCCGAAGGCGCAGGGCCTTGGCCTGCCGCCCTTGGAGGCTCGGCACGTGACGGTGGCTGCACAGGTGAACCGGACGGTCTCTTCGACGATCCAATTCAAGTGGCTTGGACCGAACTGAGCCAAGAAACGATCCATTTCATTCAGTTATCGCATTTTGTTTAAATCAAAGATGCACCACGACTGAGGCCGCTTTGTGACATTTTGCTTGGTGAACCCATGTGAACCCCATGTCTTCTCCTAGAATGGGGCCATGTAAGTTCGCATTTGGATGCTGGCATGTCCGTACCATGCACGGCACTGTTGGCAGCATTTTGACTAAGGAACCCCTTCTTGGAAACCATTACCATCTTCATTGTCTTGGAGTCGAAGAGCGAGAAAGGCGTTTTCAACCTGCTGAGCAAAAAGGCCAAGGTCATGCGCTCAGCCTAAAGTCCACGAAGATTCGGTCATTTGAGCACCTGTTACTACTAGCGATGCACTTGTTTCTAATAGCTTCTTGTTACTACTAGCGTGGCACTTGTTACTAGTAGCTCATTGGTCTGAATTTGTTCACGCTCGAGGAAAACATTCACGTTCGCGGTCGCCGCTTTTTTCTGCCGATGAGCCTTTGAGGTGCAAATTGGGCCCCTGGCCACGACGCAGATCCCTTTCAGTTTCTGCCCACCCACCATGACGCAGCACACCGCAGAGATCGCGCTCTCCGCTGCTTGGGATTAATAAAGGGAGCCGATGAGTTCACTTCGGACGGATCTTCACTGCGAAAAGACTCAAAAGACCGATTCCTCTGGAAGCAAAGCACTTTGGGGGGCATGATGTCCAGTGATACTCCTGACATCTTTTTGAACATATGTTTTTGGATATTGCCTTTCTTGTGTCAGCAGAGAATGCCTTGCTGCTCTTGCACTCAGTCGGTCCCTTTTCATGAGAATTCAATAGAATTCATTACCCTCACACCATGTCACTCATTCTATCATTCAGCATTCATAAAGCTCAAACACTCACATTCATCTTCTGCGACAAATCTTGTTGACCAAACCAGGCCAAAGCCAAACGCCAAAGCATCCGAAAACAACTGGCCGGCAGAACCGCCATCGCCATCGCCCTCTTCAGCCCAACCTCAGCCAGGTCATGAAGCCCAACCTCAGCTGGTCTTATCGCATCCAGGGCGTGGCGGAAGCACCGGCGGATCCCACGCTGCACACCTTCATGGCGCCCTTGGCACCGGAATTCGGTCCTTTTTTTTGTACCGGTTTAAGCGGTAAACGGACCTGGGACCGTTGACCATGCAGTGGCTTTCAATCCATCCGACACAAAGGGCTTGGTTTTGCAGGGGCTAGCCAGCAATTTTGTTACTTTTTTGATCGTGTAATCCAAACTCTGAAGGTAACTGATCCACACTAACCCTGCAGAATGGGCCACACCTCCAAGGTTCAAGCGCGAGAAGCCTTGCAGACCACCTATGCACTGACATTGATTGGTCTTGACACCACCCCTGGTGACACGCCGGGAACCTCAGCACAGCCAAGCAGCATCGTGTCTACGAGAAGTGGCACTTCCAGACATTGGCTGCCAAACAAGTAACTATGTCGTCGTCTCTTGGACTCACGAAGTATGTCCTCACACACAAAGACCAAAATATAGGAACACTTGCATTTACTTTGACTCCGAGTCAGGACGTTCCGTCAAGTCGCTCCAGTTTGGGTTACCCTCGGGTTACCCTTCTTTTGAGTGACAGACACCGGAGTTTCGACCCACGCAATTGTCTAAGCTCGTTTTGCAGATGGATTTTAGATATAGAGTAATATAGAGTAGACTCTGTAGACAGTGACATGAGTCAGATGCTCCAACTGTGTTATTTGCAATTCTTGATGAGGCATGGAGATCAGCTTTCGTGTCAACTGGAAGTGCCGCCTCAACACCAAGCAATGGTAGCTTGATGTGGAAAGTTCGAAAAGAGGTCTGTATGTTATCAGGGACGAAATGGACTGCACCTGCTGGGCTAGTGTATATATCTAACTTAAAAAGAAACATAAAAACACTATATACAGTATATATATATATTATATCTAATATGAATGCATGTATACAATATAGCTTCCTACATGCTTTAAAACTTTACAACGGAATCGCGTAGGATTTAACAAGGGGGCACGTCGCGATCGCACCGTCGGGACCGTTTTCCCCTTTCCAAATCGGTGAAACACCTAGAGACCTGGTGAGGATAAAAAGACGATGGTTGGGGTCATGTTGGGTCCCCGAACGAAAGAGGCAACCCCCGTTGGTGTTTCGGTCCCCTTCTTTTAAGCAGAGTGGCATTGTTTTTGGGAGGAACAGAAAATATCAAGGGGCTGACAAGTCACCTTTTTGTATGTTTCCTCCGTATCGGAGCTCCAGACAGGCGTTGGACAGCCTTGCAGGGATTCGCACCGCTCGCGATGGCCAGAGGTGTCCAAGTGCTTTGACATCAGCCTGGATAGTGATGCAACTGCTGCCAGAGCTTCAAGTCAGGTGCAACATCGAGCTTTCCACACGACATATCATACAGCAATGACCCACTTCAGTGTAGAAGAAGGTGATCTTTGAAACATGTTGGAGTGGCTCTTCTTTGGCCATATTATGGCCCCAGATGGTAGACGTAGACGTTTGTTGGAGTTCTTGTTGCGAACGAGTAGACCAACAGCACCCTTTCGAAGTATTGTTTGTCTGAAAGGGGTGTCCAAAATTGCTGAAAAGCGTGTCCACATTCTATAACGTCTATCTATAACGCCTGTCCTTCTGTCTGGCCTGCTCCAGTGCCAGGCATCAAGAACTCGTGGCAAATCCGATGGACAGGTCTTCCTCAAGGTGCGGACTTCGGGCGCTTCGGGCGCGTATCGAAGCGGAAGCCCGAAAGCGAAAGCGCAGGGGACTGTTGGAGACTTGTACATTGATTCACAATTCATGACAACATGTCGCTAATCAATGCTAGTCATATTTTTGGCTGTACTTGGGTTGCAGCTCTTTGAATCATGACCAGGGAGGTGGTGACTTTACTTCATCCCGGGCTGCTGACAAACACACAGCTGCTAGTTCCGGGCAGGTGAACTTTTCGCCACTGCGGCCCTTCATCGCACTTTGTGGCTGGGCTTTGCTTAAAGATGTTGTTCAGAGAGCAGCGCATGAAAGAAACAGGCACTCATGACTCAGGGGTTACAAGACCCCTATCGCCTCCACTTGTACTGCCTGCGTTTTAATCAATGGACAGTAGTGAAAAAGCGCCTTTGTTTGGCATAGTTACATACTGCACATTACTGCACTGCATAGGCATGATCGTCTTAGCACTTCACGTTGTTTCGCACATCGTTTCGCAACGCTGAATGCGCAGCGACCATTCTCTTGAAGCTGGCTCTGGGTGCAGGGGTGGAGCTGTGTCCGCAACTGTTTGTAAGTGTCGTCAACCGTCTATCATACTCACCCATGTGCGGGGAAGCTACAGACGATGTGTCAGATTCGTGTGACATAGCGCAGAATGTGATTTCCCAATTGTGACGTATGATGTTGCTGCGCAGGTGCAGCGTCGACTCGACACTGTGTCGCCTTGCCAGAGGTGTTGAATGTGGCTGTGCCATTGGAATTTGCTTTGAAGGGCTTGTGGGTCTCAACTAAATTGTGATTTGGGTGACGCGGGTGTTGTAGCGCAAAGTAAGTGTCGACAACATTCCATGTCAAGGTGTGGCACAGTCAGCGGACGCTCTGTGCAGGGGGTTGGATTGTGAAGCGGCAGCGCTGCGTGACGTGTTCGCTGGGACTTCGCGATTCACGTTTGGAGGAAGTCTTGCACGACATGCCTGTTTTGAAGAGTTGTCAGTTTGACTTGTCGCGGAAGTCTCTTACAATGTTATTGTTTTGGTTTCCCGCGTGGCGTGTTTTGGGGTAAGTCTCATTATAGAAAGGCGCGTTTTGAAGACTTGACGCACGACTTTTGGGAGAGATCCGAAAAGAAACGCTTGTTTTGGAGACTTAATTCGGAAGTCTCATCAGAAAGGCTCGTTTTGGAGACTTTCCGTGTGACTTGCTTTGGAGGCTTGACGCGACTGTGCAAAAGTGCTCCACAAGAACGTCCCACAAAAGCGCTTGCTAAGTGTGGACACAATCCGAGGTTTCATTTTTTTGTGTGCTTTCTTAGACCAACTCCGCTGTAGAACTGTGCCCAAAAATCGTCTTTGCTTTCAGAGCACCACAGATTTAGTTTTAATCGGTTTTTAGCAGGCAACACTAAAATCTAACCACCACTTTCACTCGGATTGTGCCAGCTGTCAGGCGCTGTGTTCTTCTTCTTCATGTTGGAGAATGTTGGAAATGTATAATGATGTTTATATATATATATATATTTCATTTAACAACGTTGTTTTTTGTTTAATGCTTTAAACCCGGCACATTTGATTGAGATCAAGGCAACTTGGTGATCACCCGTGCCTCGGGTGGTCGCTGGCGCTTTGATCTGAAGCTAGAGGCGACTGAGCCTGAGGTGCGGATGACAGCTTTTGCTCGTAAGGATGGACACGAAAGCCACGACAGGGGCACAAACGAGTGCAAATGACCGCAAACGAGTTTTGTGGGCATTAGAAGGCAAGAGAGGCCTATTGGAAAACCAGCTGTATATACAAAAAAACTGTACGTGTGTATATATAATATAACCACGTGTATATGTATTTAGATACGTCATTCCAGAAAGACAGAGGTGACCTGCCACTGCAGGTGGACGATGTGATTTCCATCCAGTCGCCCCTCAACAAGCCAGCAAGCGAGTCTTGGCTGAAGCAGCTGAAGCCGAGTAAGTGATAGTATTTTTGGGGATGTGGTTGATCTTCTTGCTGTAACTTCATCTCAAATGATCTCAACGCTTTTATCATCATTTACCTCTTAGTTAGTGCAGAGCAGTGGTTGGCCAAGGACTACAGCACACTGCAAAGACAACCATGTGGTAGTCATGAAGTTGTGCCAAAGGTTTTCTTCGTGTTCTTTTCCTCAAAGCAAGAGCGACCGCTTCCACTAGGTGGCCTTCAGATTGAACAACCACACCAGCGTTTACTCCGAGTTCGAAGCCTTCTTCGATGCAGAGTCAGCGTATGAATTCACTGTGCAACCAACTTCAGGACAGATGAAAGTTGGAGCAACCAAGTTTCAAACGCCGTGTGTCACAAGAGTTTCCTACTAGTTTCGAACACCATTCAAGCATTGGCAGAACATGCTTATGGCTCAGGCGAACAGAACATACTTTGAGAAGTAGCATCTACTTGCTGACCCCCTCCAAGTCCAAGTTATACCTTGTCAATCTTTGGTATTCAGATGGTTCGGTTTTGCTAGCTGCTAGCTTTGATTAATTTGGAGGAGGAATTCTCTGGCGAAGTCCGACCTGTAGGTAGTAAGCAGTTGCGGGATATCACTAGGTTTGTGCACATTTCTGAAGAGGCCTTGTGGACTCAAGTTCATTCAAAGGTGTGTCACTCCAATTGCCATGAGCTGCGTCCGAAGAGCACCTGGGACCCTGCTGTTCACAGCATTGCCGATGCCCTTGGCACGCAAGCGAAGCGGAAACAACTCCCGCTGTGATGACGGAGGGCCCACGGCGGGAGCGCGGAAAACTAGTGTTATCCGAAGTCGGGAAGTGCCGGAAGAGGGTGCCTCAACTGAACCTGAGCAAAGTTTCCTGGCAAGACTCTGCTGCATCAATGTGTCCTCGATGTTTTTTCCAACCTCTCTCAAACTTTTGAGATGTCCCATAAATTACTATTACTATATCGATCTTGTTGACTGTTGACAGCTGCCGACACCTTTCTTCAAATCAAATTGTAGCAAGGTCCACGGTATGGCTGCAAACTTTTTCGCTTGCACTGGACCTGAGGCAAGCAATGTGAAGGTGAAGCAGCACTAGAGGTGGCAGCAGCTGCAGCAACTGACCTTTCAACCTATTGGTCAAACAGTGTCCGACCATACGCTTCTTGCCTTTTTCATGCTGCCTACAGTGATCTCAAGTGCAGTATCTGCTGGAAGCCGGAGGCGAAAGTATGCCCTCAGCGGTCCCCAGCTGGTTCTTCGTGATGTTTGAAGGTTTAGCTGGTCAGCTGGTATGTAGCACTTTTTGTGGTATGTAGCTGTCAAAGCCCAGGCTTTGAGAGGAAGCCCTTTCTTGCGGCGGCCTGTGTTCGCATCTCTCTGGAGGCTGACGCTGAGGCTAAAACCGAGAGAGAGCTCTCAAGGCACTCAAGACACTCGGGTGAGTGCCAGACTCAAGGCGTCTCAAGCACGGCGCTTTCTGGAGATTCAGCTGTCGGGCGATGCGCAGCATCTACTTCTAAGCGGATCGGCATGGTGTACTGCGACCAATCCAGAGCCTAAGTTCTCACAAGTTGCCTGGATGAGATTGGTACAAATCTTGCAACATGTAGATGCCTTTTTCTGATGCAGGCAAACTGGTGACCGTTTATATAGCTAACTGTATTTTTTTATGATTTGGGATCATAATATGGGGATGGCATGCCTTTGGGTTTAAAGAATATTTGCACATCTTATCATGCATTCATTCCAACAATACAGCGCGTACCCAGTACAACATGTGGGCTTCCGGCGACTTCCGGCCGTCTCTTTGCTTCGATGCCGGTGCAGGTCGTCGTGCCGCCGGTACCGCTGGCCCCTGAAGAGATGGAGGCCGCAGTGCGACGCTTCAAAGCCATGGAACGACGACCAAGACTCAGCGTGGTGAAGGCAGAGGCGGCGGAGAGCGCGGCAAAGGGCGTTGTGGCTGGTCTCGCTTCAATTCTTTGCTTTTTGCCTGGCTGAAAACCGAGCATGTTCTCATGAGAACTTCAAGTTATGGCTTCCATCCTAAAATCGAATCGTCATAACTAGAGACGGCTTCTTTTCCCTGTTAAGTTCTTTTGTGTGTCCGACGTCCGAGGTATATAATAGGTCTCCCTGCCTTAATGAAAGCTTGGCAACCATTTGCAGCAAATCGTTGTTGCAAGTCGATGTGCCCAATGAGATCCAATGAGTGTGAGGTTTGTCCGGAAGGATCCTTGGCATATCGTCGAAGACTCTCCAGCCAAGGTTGCATCACTATCCTTGACTTTGGATTCTGAGGATGGGACCGCAGATGAACTTGCAGGCCTTTATGGAAGGAAAACGCCAGCGGCGAAAACGCCCCTGGATGCAAACGCTTGTGGCGACTTGGGGCCTGTGCTAAGCAAAGCGCTGCGGCTGGCAGTTCAGAATGCAGGAATGAATCTGGCCTTTTGCAGTATTGAAGTGGAGATGAGTGCCGTACCTGTGGGCGCTGAGATTGAGCTGTTGGCTCGTGCAGAAAAAGCGGGTGAAGCAGAGGTGGTTCTAGTCACTGGCTGGCTCGCAGGGAAGGATGTCTTGCGTTTTCGAGCAGAGTTTAAGTCCGAGAGTGAATCTGAATAGGTATGGTATCACTGCCACCTGAGATACCAGACAGCCAACCCGCGCGCAAATGTTGAGGAGCAGTCGACACAGAATCAAGTCAACAAGAACACCACGAACCACGTGGTTGTCTCGGGTTTGCCGCTGCAAAGGCAACCACCTGAGAGTTGCATGAGCACGGCTGCTTTGAAGAAGATCAACATCCTCAGCCTTGATGATGCCTCCATCGAGCTGAGTCTCCGTTCCAAGCATGCATGCATTTCTTGGATTAACTTTCTTGTCCGACTGTCCATTGCCTTTGAGTGATTGAATCACTGAATTACCCAGTCAAAGATCACTGGACATGTTTTGCAGAACATTTTGCAGAAAAAGAACAGGACAGCAGCTGGTCTTAGGCAGTCCGAAACACATTTTTGAGTTGCTATTTTCAGGGAATCTGACTATTTGTGACTCCTTGTGTGCTTTGTGTACCTTGGCCCTTGGCTTTGTGTGTGCTTCGTGTGACGAACCTGCAGGAGTCTTAGAACCCGCAGGGACGAACGGTACCACTTTCGTTGCTCGGCGAATGGTGGTACCGTTGATGGGGTGAGTTTCGCTACGCGAAGAAGCGGAAGGGATTAAAGTAATTGCAGAACTGGACCCTTAAGTGAAAAGGATCAATGATGCACATTTTTGCGTGAAGGAAACAGTCTCAGCCTCATACCCAAGTTGATGATTCAGGTTGTTACCTACAAACCCACGGAGTACGGCAAGCCTGTTCAGGGCAAGCTCATCATTCAGACAGAAGCAACTCAGATCAAGAGTGAGGTTGCTGCAAGATTTCTTTGGCGCCCGCCTGCATGAACTGTTTCGATCCAGTCTAGCATCGCGCGAGTATCCAATGCTTGCCGATTGGAGAACAGGTGAAAACACATTTGGCCTGACATTTCTTCTTCTTGAGCAGAAGAAAGTTCCGCGATCTCCCGTCATGTGCCATGACGCTGCGCTGAGCCACCAAGGATGTCTTCTGGTCATACCTGGTGAAGGGTACTCATCCAAAGTACACTGCGCCTGTGGTCGAGAAGCCTAAGGTGGCTACAAGGCAACCCGGGGGCCGCAGGAGCTGAGACGCCCGTGTGCTGCCGACCGGTCGGCATTGACAAACGACTTTGTTTCACCCCCTGAGACCCCCAGAACGAGCGAATAGAGTGCTCCAGAACCAAGCACCAGAACTGACGACTGGTAAATTGTTTTGTGGCAGTTGTGACCTATGGATCCTCTGGCTGCATGGAACCCATTGGAACCCCACAAATCTACCACATTTACTGTATCCACATTTCCCACCGGCGCGCTGTTTCCTGCGGAAGTGCCTCCAAATCGGATCTCGAACGTGTGAGGCTAACGAAGGAAATGGAAATGCAGCTGGCCAAAGCGTCGCAAAGTCGCCGGAAGAACTTCATCAAGGAGACCTGGAAAAGGACATTTTTTGCAACGTGAGGTTCTCACGTGACGTCTACGTGTCCTTTGTGGCCGCCACCAAACTTTTGTGCACTCAATGAATCTCAACACTCACTCTTGGGAAATGATGCGAAAATAGATCCAGGTGTGGGTTCTCTAGAGGGAAGAGTAGGCATGTTGGCCATGAAAGAAGAGTTCTGTGCAAAAGTTATCAGCATTTCCAAGGGACCATCGCATACTGTAGATAAATCTATCTATATATATATATGTACATATATATATATATATTTACTCAGCACTTGAGCAGAGCAACATGACCTACGTAGGCACGTCGTTTCGTTCGTTTTTTTCTTTTGTGTGATTTTTTGAAGCGTCGAGGTGGATGGAATTTGTTGGGGAATGTTCCCGATCGCAGGAGAACATGAAGGGCGGTGTCAAGGATTAGACTGCCATGTGGCTAAGCTGCAGGACGTGTCCAAGGACGCAGACGTGATAGAAGCCAGAAAGCAACTTGAGGCCTTAGGCATCCAAAGTTGAAATCTCGAATGTGTTGGGGGTCTGCCGTTTGGCACACTGGTTTCCCAGGTAAGAGCGCAGGAAGTCCCCGCCAAGATTGGGATTTCCTGCCCCACCCGTGCTGTCACGCATACGGCATACAGCCTTTTGAAAGCACAAGTGTCACCAGTGCACATGTCATGAAACACTCATAAACACTCGATGTGGCCCCAGATGCACAGTAGGTACCTGTCTCGGACAAAGGAGCAAGACCAACATCGGACATTAAACGACAAGTGTCGTTTCAGCTGTTGACCTTAGAACTTCATCCAAGATTCATTGCCAGGCCACGACACAGGTCGAAGGTACCGTGCCTGTGGCGGCGCTGCTTGAGATGCTCTCCAGACGCAGCTCCGGCCAAACGAAGTCCAAAAGTCGCACCTGGCTTGGTTGAGAATCCTCTCTTGTACCTGGCTTGAATTGTTGCAAAGTATGGCCAAGTCTGCTGAATAGGTCCGGTGGCTTTTTAGATGGAGCTGTGTGTGGTTTGGTGCAGAGCCACGAGAAGCTTTGCCTGTTCAAAAGAAAGTCTGGCCACTGCTTGGATGATGATCACATAGGTACATGGTTGGAAGGGAACCTAATCTCATCAGATGATCATCCAGGTGTACTCGTTGTCCTCTAGAGCTCAGATTATTGAATTCTGAGGGACAGCTGAGGCGTTAACGAACTGTGTCACCGGCAACAAGGGAGAATTCCAACGCTGCAAGATGCAGCTGGTTTCACGTCGGGCAGAGATCTCCTTCCAAGGAGGTGTCCTGCTTAAAAAGGATGTCTCGGAGAGCTCCTTCCACTTCCCACCAAACTTGACGAACTCCTTTTTAGTGCAATCAACGAATTGCATGATTTGCCAGTGGTGCAGATACGAATCATAGGCACTGCGGCGCTCCATTCTGATGAACAGAGCACCTGGCTGAAGTGTTTCGCTGGCGCCCAGCGCTGACGTCCAGCCCACAGTGCTCAAACGCTGCCGGAGCCGACAGTCGACGTTTTCAGGCCCTGGGCAGCCTGTGCCTGGTCTTTCTCTCGTTCTCATTCTTTCAACCTTTGTATGTTATGTCTTCCTTGACATCGCCCTTGAATGTTTTTGCATTTGCAGATGCAACAAACCAGTCAAATTCAGGATCCAGGTGCTCAGCGATTCTCTTTGTTGGCAGGATTTTCCTGACGAAGTTGCGTCTAGTCTCGGAGCATTTCTTGCCGGTAGGCCTCACCATGGCCCGAGATGAAGAGGGGGAAGAGGCACGCACCATTCGCAGTTGGGATGAGAAGATGTGTGATAGCGGATCTGATAGTGAGTGTACAGTGGACAGCTGTTGGCCTGCGCTGTGTTGGTAAAGATAGGGTGGCATGGCCGGCAGGACAGTTATACAAGATTCATTCATGCTGAACTTGTTTGGGTGTGCCATTGAGCGACCCACTCACTAGTACCAAATCGAGACATATTCTGGCAAAAGGACCAATGCATTTAGGGCTGACGCAGTTTCTCTTTTACACTCTTCCGACTTGACGTGTCTCCAAATTGAAACGATGCAAAGAGCTGTCACAATGTCTGTGGCAAAACTCACGCCAGTCTCTCTGTCAGGATGTGGAACGCAAGCAGGACAGCTGCTCCCTGTGCTACAGGTTGCAACCTTCAAGACATGCAATCCCTTACTCGATCCCTTTTGTATTCAGTCTTGATTATGATTGCCATATCTGTTTTCTAAGATAACTTGCCTTTGTGACCCATGGGGACATGCGACATGACATTTAAATTGAATGTGGCTTGATGAATCCATTGAACGGATGTTTGTCTCGTGGGAGGAGTTTTTACAGTTTCGGCGGACGCTGGATGGCATGCGGGCCAAAGAGGAGGCGCATGTAGTGGTGACATGGTCAAAACTCGGAGCCCATTTCCAGTTGACCTCCCTCATAGTCTATTCAGTTCTGTCACAACCCCAGCCAAGCTGAATTTTCTTGCTCAGGGCCAGCAGTCAAAAGCAGATGAAATGAAGTCACAAGGTGAGGATGCCGCTTTGGTCAGGATCCCTTTTTCGCTTTTTTTGTTTCTCACGAAAGTTGTCTTTGTCCATTTTCGGACATACTTACCATTTCATATCGAAGCAGCGGCTCTTCTTTACTTGCTTCAGCCTTCCTGCCAGGCAATCAATTTTTCCAGCTGGGCCTCTATTCCCAAGTTCTGACCTCAGAGGATATTGTATGCACGTTATCCACTCTTGATTTCCTGTGCTGGGATGTTGCTCTGGTCAAGGCTTCAATGATGTACAGCGAGGCAAGAAGAGTCAACCGTCATTTACTGGCATCCAGCATGGATTGGGAAGCTCGAAAGCAAGTCGTGATGAAGCGCTCAAGCGGTAGACACGACGCTTTTAAACTGGTCACTGTGAAATAATTCAAGTGGCCCTGCCAAACACTGGCACTGGGAACCCACCAATATCTTGCCATATGACACGTTGTGACTTCAATGTTTGTTTCTTCATTTTCCTTTAACGGGGCTTTGTTCAAGGTTTGTTCAAACTTGTTTTAGGGAACAGCTTGGTGGGACAGCTTGCTGACCCAACCTTTTTGTGCAGGCCTTGGAACTTCAGCCGCAAAACACGGTGCTGTGGAACAACCGGGCGATGGCCTACCTGAAGCAGGCCGGGCACCAAGCCAGGTAAGATTGTATCGGAGGAGGTTTCAACATCTTTCAACTATCTTAAGGTTGTGGGAGTCTTGGCATATGATGTGTATATGTATATGTATATATGTACACACGCATACACACACACACACACTCTGCGTGTGTGCGTGCGTGCTGTCAACCTTTATTTCGGTCTTTCAGGCCACTCACTTGTGTCTGACATTGATTCATTCATCCGTTTTGCAAGCATCTGAAGGGATGACCAGTACAGAGATTGGTTCCAAGCGATCTTTCCAACTCAGAGGCAGCCCCCGTTGCGAGGAGATGTTCCACGAGGCATTAGAAGATGCTGATCACAGCCTGTCCTTGGATCAGTCCAAAGAGAACATCAAGGCTTGCTTTCTGCGGGGATAGACCGAAACGCACGATGAAGTGCCAGAAGCTTGTCATGCGGATCCTTGTTGGTCATGTCCGGTGAGGAGAATCCCTTTCAAAATTTTCTGTGGGCATTTCCAGACTGACATGGCATCGCCTTGAAGCCGCCCCAAATTCGACAAAATTCGTGATCAGAGTGAGCAAAGTTGCTTGAAAAGGCGTTGCACACGCTTTCACTACTCACTACTGGTGGGACACCAACGGAGCCAAGAGTGTCAGCACCGGATTCAAACGAAGCCAAGAGTAGCGAGAGGGTCCGAGAGGGTCTAAGGAAGTGACGCGCAGAACGCGTTGCCCCCGAGTTCGGATGACGAAATCCGAAAAACCAATCCGGTAGAGTTTACTCCACGAAACCCTGATGAGTTTACCCAAAAAGCGTTATGATTGATGGAATATAATAGACTTGACTGACTACCAAAAAGATCCAAAAAGATCGGTTTTGGGGTGACCTACTAGCGGTATAATAGACTTAACCATCATGTTGGAGTTCACAGCCTTGACTTTGCGAGGCCTACTGGCGACGTGCACAGGTGACACGGGCTATTTTGCGAGAAGCCGCCCACAGAGAGACAGATCCGAGGAAGCTGCCAAGAAGTACTGTACCATGCAAATTAGCTGAGTCAGTGTTGGAAGACAATCATATATATAGGATCACCTCAGTACCCCTGTTTCTTGTGTCCTTTCGATAGAAATCATAATGATCGTTGCTTTCCAACTTTACCTATCCAAAGGTGCATAGGATGGGATGACCAGCCCTAATGACCTGCTGTCACTACGAACCCAGACATACATACATACCTGCTGTAGACCCTCAGGTGATGATCCCTTCCCTCGCCAGGCCTTGTTTGACTTGGATAGATTCGAAGACGCTGAGGATGCAGCGTCTGCCGGCATCGCCGTTCAGGTGGGCTCGGCTTGTTGAGGACGGCAGGGATTGCACGATGACAAGATAAAATCTGACATGTCCAACCTTCCAGTGCCTTTCCCCACCATTTGGTGTCGAGAGTGTGGCACAGTGCACTGTTGAGGCCAGCAACCAACATCTGAGCCGAGTGCGGCGAAAGGCTCGCGAGGCCATGGCGCTGCGGCGGCTCTGCGATGTGAAATGGGCCTGGACCCGAAGAAGCCGGGTTGGAGCGAGCGGGTGGATGGAGGCGGAGCGAACGAGATGGAGGACGTATGAGGACATGGGGTCCGAAAGACTGTGTGTTTTTGACACGGACACATGACAGGATACAGTAGGTCGGTGTGTCATAGGACTTCTGCAGATCATTTTGCGGACTTTATGGATGCCTTCATTTAACCTCGTTAGTGGAATCAAGACAAACATAGACAAAAGTTCGTGGATGGTCCAGCTGCTTTGTGGACATTGGTGGAAAAACGCCGAACATGCTGGACCAAATCAAGTGCATTTACCTGCGTTTTACCCTCAGCTGTAAGGAACACCCAAGGTATACAAGTCCACCAGTCTCGCTCAGGTTGGGACCATGGAGAACGGTGTGGAGAAGAAGTACACCTTCTCGAAGGAGATGAAAAAAGGGAAAAAGATGCCGAAACTAAGATGGCTGAACACTTACTCATGTTCCTTGGTACGCCTTGGTAGAAGCCTTGCGAGGGCACCTTCCCTGTTGTTGGTAAGCCACATGAAGCAACCGCACATCGAGTACTACAGCGAAATTGCAGTGACAAGTTCACCTGCAGTGAGAAGTCAGTCTGGTCGTGGAATTGAAACGTCCTGTGCCGGGCTAAAAGCATGGACCACACAGAAAAGAGGCTCTTCAACACCCCTCTCTTGGGCTTTTAGCGCGGGGAAGAGTCGAAGATAGTCGAATTGGCCAACCTTTGAAGAAGCGTTTCTTTTTTCAGCATTGGGAAGCAAGAAGTTGCTGCGCGGACCATCTGGGATGAATTGGCTTTGGGGAGCCGCTTCTAGAAGAGTATATATATTTTTTTCTGTTTCGTCAGCTTTCGATATTCTTTGGTGACACATTGACATGAAGAAGACAGTTTCTTTTGATGCAATAGCAAACTTTCATTCACCTCAAGCACAGCGAACGCCCCAGGACGGTGAGATGTGCATGACTGTTGTCGGGCATGACCTTAAGGCTTGTCGGCCTACACCAAGATTCAAAGAGAAAAGGCTTAAATGCCGACTTGAGAAACGCATGCAAAACCATGCAATGGCGTCGGATGGCGTCGGCAGAACCCTTTTGTTTGATCATAGGCAGTGTCCAGATTGTATTGCACCCTTGCTTTCTCAGACAACCGCACACACGGCAGATGTATTTGAGACCTGCTAATGTGGTAGGGCAGTCGGATGCGATGCATGTGATTTTCCTCAGGGTGCTTTGTGACAAGACTTTAGATCATACAGAAAGCAGCATTGTTTTATGAGGCAAAGCGTGTAGTCTTGCTCAGTGCAACCCAGCTAGAGTTGGGGAGAGATTTTGTTTGGTTGAAGAATTGCTGCCACAACTTGTTGGGGAATGGATTCGATGTCGATGAACTTGTCAACGGCAGAAGAGATTTGTCCACTGTGAATGAACGGTACAATTTACAGTGAACATACACTGAAACTTACATGTAACCTTGTTTGCAGAGCTGATTGGGTTGACGTTCAAGGAAGATTTACAGGGAACAATGATGAATCATGAACATTCTAGTAGCTTGTTTTCACACAATGGTATACATACCACCAACGATGCAACCCTGGTCAAACCGCAGTACTTCGACCGACGACGCGTCGTCGCGAAAGCGCTGCGCCGCGTCGCTTTCGCTGCGGTGAGGCCACGTTTGATCTGAGCGTCGAGTGCACGCCGCAGTCGATGGTGGTCAAGATGAAACCTGTGACGGGCTGAGAGAGGCCGTCGAAGATCGACCGAGAGGCCGTTGTGATCGGCGTCGGTGGAGGCCGGCGGTTTTGGGCCCCGGCCCAGAGGTCTCTGTGTTGTTTCTTTGTCCACACAGGCCCACAGATGATGGACACTGCTACAGTCCTAATTGATCCTAATTGTATGATATTGCATGCATATGGTGGGGACAGACAAAACAGATTCTGCGAGGCTGAGGCAGCTCCTATTTGATGCAAGGTCAAGCAGCTAATCACAAAGGAGATTGTTTGAAGGAGAACCACGATTCATTCCATTTGTCTTGATGTAGCCTAGCTTTGTGGAAGCTCGGATAGCATCATTGTCGAATTGCCCCTTGACTAATCACACAGAATTGCAAGAACACAAGGGGCAGTTGTCACCGCATTCAATGAAGAGGTCGAAAGCAACAACTGCTGCCTGGCTCCACGGTTCCTGGCCTCCCAAATGCCAGGTTTGCTGAGAGAAATCTTTTCTCCCAGAGATTGACGCCACCGGACCATTTTTGAATTCATGCAACAGGGATCAACAGGGTGTTTTAGTTTTGGAGATGCTACGATCAAGACCTGTCAACTTCAAAACCAGAAAATAATGACGTCCTCACAAGCAGACATCACGTCCTCACACATGTTGATGGTGAAGCTAGTCTATGCATCAAACACTCCCTTAGCGACACACTGCTCAGCTTACGTCTGACTGAGAACCTCAGGTCTTTGGAAGCGGAGGCGCGCCGCCACCGTCCTGCGCCTCAGGAACGTTTCCTTTGAACAGCGACCCTTTTGGTGCACATTTCAGATGCAGGTTGTCATGATTCCGTGATTACCTTTTTTGCACGGGAGCTTTTGCTCCTTGAGCCAGATCATCAAAGGTATCCAGAGCTGCTCTCTTGTTCTGTTTATGTTCTGTTCGTATTCCTTCAGAGGAAGCGGGTTTTCTGGGTGTTTCTTTGCAACTGCGATGGTGCGAGGGCTGATTGTATACAGGCCAGTACCATATCTCTACAAGTTCGAGGATGACGACCAGGCAAGCAGCAAGCATCATTGATAGCACAGAAGCTGTATAATTAGTCTTTGTATATAGACCCAGATAGGCTCAGATAGGATTGGACTCATTGCACAAGCAACAGCCAGCAATTTCATACAATTTTGGAAATTCATGTGCAGCGGCAAAATGGAGTACAACAAACTTGGGAGCCAGCACCAAGCACAATGGGTCCTCGAATCTATCGACATAACATAAACGTCGCATCAACTCCAAGCCATTGGCCCCGTTTAGCGACAGTCGGACCGCTGTGTCCACGCCCATTGCCAGTTTGTCCAATGACGCAGGCAGAGAGGCAGAGGGATCATCAATTAGAATCAACCCGATCGGGTCAAGCAAGCTGCTTGAAGCCCTAGTTTCTTGTTCCTAGTAGTAAGAACGCGACTAGTAGCGATGCCAGGAGCCCCTAGTAGCGTCCTTGCTCCTAGTAGTAAGGCCAGGAGCCCCTAGTAGCTTCTTGCTCCTAAACATCCTGTCGGTTGATTTCGAGATCATTTCAGCTGTCACAGTAGAAAAAGGTAATGGGCGCAGCGCACTTGATGAAGAGCCGTGACTGAGACACCATCGCAGCGACTGGGAACTTGCAGCAATCACAGCAGTTGGAGACACCTTGGGCGGCGACGGGCAGCGGCTGCCATCCAGATTTAGTAACGAAGGCGTAAGAGCACGAGAGATGGAACGTGGCGGAGTCAGACACAGTCTCCATGTCGGGGCCAACTTGGGGGAGCCCCAGCTTTTGAGAAGTTCCCATGTCGGGGATTTACTAGCGCGTTTCTATAATATATATATACATATAATATATAGAGTAAACGAAGAACACCCATGTGTCTTAGAGAACTGGGCTTTGCATGCTTTTGTTGCTGACGATTCACAGGAGCTCTGGCTTTGTCATCCAGCTTGGATCCCCGGATTTTTTTGACTGGGAGATTGCCGGGTGAATGGTGGTGCTTTTCCATCGGCCGTAAGCGCTGTTGGCTTTGTGCTACGGAATCGTTGTTCCAAATGCGCTCAATGCTGAGGCTCAGGTGTTGCAGAATGAAATCTACCGATGGGAACTCGATGGAACTCTCAAAACTAAGTCCAAATTAAAGATGCAAATCCAAGTGCTTGTCCTCCCTTTTGTCGGAACAACCATTGTGCACCAAGTGCTTCCTTGCTGTTACATCCAAGACATCATGCCTGACAGCCTGGCGGACGAGCCGTTGAGCTTTTCCACAATCTGCCAGTTGAGGTTGGAAGCAATGATCTTCCAACAAAGTTCGAAGGGAGCTGCTCTCAGCTGGTGTGTGCGTTGATGCTTGGCACAGCAATCTGTGCTCCAGTGTGTGCGTGCGTGCGTGCAGGGACACTCGCAACACCCCGAGTGAACCAATTTCAGACAAACGACCGAGTGAACCGATTTGCTTTCACAAGGAACAAGAAGCTACTAGGAGCAAAGGGCATCGCTACTAGGAACAAGAACGCTTCTAGGGGCTCCTGGCCGCACTACTAGGAGCATTCTCGCTACTAGGAACATAATTATATATATTATATCCAACACTGGGGGGTGAAATCGACTCCAAGGCCGGGCTTTAGTCGTTTGAGACGCAGCCAGGCTGGGTGTCCCAAATTTCTCGTTTGGGACATTCTCATCATTAGTGTAAATTTTTAGACATTTTTTTTAAAATAATGTACACCCAAAAGATCTCAATCCTTTTGCAAACGGCATTCATTGAAGGTGCTATGCCCGAAAGTGTCAACAGAGTTTACGCTGACAGGCCACTGTTCACATGTTGTTGGTCGGCTTTTTGAGAAACATGTTGCCTCTCCTTTGCCTCAGGAGCCAGTGGCCGAAAACTTTGGCAGTGAACCATTGGAGCAAAGATGTCTTAGATATATGCAGAGGGCTCAGAGAACGCAAAGATGCTCCAAACATGAACGAGTCCTGGGCATTCATGATCAAGCCAATCACATCCACTTCATCGAAACTTCAAGCCAATCACGGGACTTGCTATTTTCTCTGGGACTGACAAAGTTCTTGTGGGCTATTGATGGCTGTTGGACGGTTTTTCTTTTGGAAAGTAGACACACAGGCTTTCTTACCTCAAACATCTCAGGCGGGAGTTCAACGATATTCTGCCGTCGGAGTCTCATTCGGGGTATCTCAAGGGTGCTTGTTGGTTCCGGCACAGAGACATGGAAACCGTATGAAAGGATGCACTCCAATGCAGAGATGGGAAGAGGCACTTTTGACAGATGGGGATAGGGAAGAGGGATCATAGGACTACACAACAAAGTGTAGGCCGTTTTTGAAGCTGCTCTCCTGAAGACTCGTGACGCTCAGGGTGATCCCTCCACAGCTTCCTGAGCGACCCTCAGAGGAAGAGGTGAGCCAAGAGGCACTCGGGGACTTTGGCACTGTGTTTCCCACTTTAAGGGGGAGGGAGCCTGCGGGGGGAGCTTCATTGAAGAACCTTTCACATGATTGATTAGGTTCTTGGATCTTCTCGAGAAACTTCACGTTCTGCAAGTCATAATCATGAGGGTTTTCTGCCAAGCAGAGCTGGCTTCGAACGTGCCTTTTTGGACGAAAGAGCGGGGCTGAGAAAGGATCAGATGCTGAAAGATGTTAGAATTGACTATATCATATTTAGCATCCCCCCAGAAACCTACCAGGTGCGAAAATGGCGAACAGGTTGTATCAGGTGCGCACCTTGCATCATGTTCATTGATGACTTCTACAATCCGCTCAAACTGGCGCTAAACAAAAGCAGCAAACAAGGCAGTGGAGCGTCTTTTTTTTTCGATCTCTCTTGCGGTTGGTCCGGCGTGAGTGAGGACCTTCTTGGGGTTCTGACACCCTGGGTCTAAACCCCCCGAGAAGGCACACGGAGCCCAGTGGGTCGGAACGCCGACGAACCCGGTGTCGGTCTCCTCTTATTTGGACAGAACGGTGCAAAGGTCTTCTGGTGACCTCTGGGTCTATCTTTAGCTTCGTGGGCCTTGCTATGCCTCATTTGCTGAAAACACCAGATCCTGATGATGCAGAAGGTGACGAAGTTGAAGCAACGCTATGGTCATGAGGTCCGCTCCTCTCACGCTTGGTGTTCGGTGCTGAAATCAGCTGATTCGTTTGTTGGGTGCTTCGCTCAAAGATTGTCAGATGTGATACCTTCCATTGATGTTCATTTGCTGGTGACAGTCAATATGTGCTTGTGTGTGGGTCGAACTCAAGAACTATATATATATATATATAGACTATATATATATATATTTATAGTTTGGGCGGAGGCTGCTGGTAGGAGTCTTTGTTTGAGAGCTTCCATCGGGTTCACTGATTTCTTGATCCAGTGATAGCCTGTTGTTGAAAGACTTGTCAAAAAGACACTCAAGTGCTGCCGTTGGAGCTCATCGTGAGGTTCACCAACGGGCTATGGAGCTGGCAAAGGCCAGAAGTAGAAGGGTGGAGTTTTGGAGAGGGGACACGGTACTATCTTGCACTTGATATCCGTGTAGAAACTGTCGCAAGTGCCAGTCAATGTATGCGGCCACGCGTTTTTTGGATGGCAAGCTCTCCTTAGGCAAGCAGATCAAGTGAGGGCAGTGAGGGTGTCAAGACAGGTGCCCTTGCTTCCCTCCTAGCTGTGAACCCTGTGGCCAGGGCACTTGCTTAGCAGAGGGCTCCGAGGTCGAACTGGCCGAAGGACTGCGAGAGCGGCTGGTGGCAAGAAAGGCTGGGTAGATCTGGATACGAGAAATCAGTTGCGTTTTCGTCTCGAGTTGCCCATTGGAAGAACCTGTCAGGTCATCCCTGGTGACTGCCTGAGGCCCTAGCATGCTGGTGACATGCTATTAGACATTATTTCTGGTCGTGATGCCCTTGTTACATCTTGTTACTAGTAGCTTCTTGCTGTGTGATGGCCTCCAACCTAGTAGCTTCTTGTTACTAGTAGTAATGCCAGGAGCTACTAGTAGCTTCTTGCTCCTAGTGGCGATGCCCTTTGTTCGTAGCTTCTTGTTACTATGGCAAGTAAGGAACGTTCGCAGGGATTCAGAAGCTGCAACTTTGACTATATATACTTGTCCAGGTGCTTTGACCACCTGTTTGCACGAGAACCACCGCTTGGAATTGCTATAATTTGTGGCCGGGACAATGCTTTTGTCCGCCCAAGTTAGAAAACACAGACACATCACATCTCCAAGCTGTTTGGGGCCATTAAAAAAACATGTTGAATGGATGAGACCCACCAATAAATGCCAAGAACTATGGTTTAAAACCGCCATTTCACGTTTTGATCGCACATCCCTCTGAGGCCAAGTGCGTGGACCTTCGGAGACAGCGCCTCCGGCGACCCGGCTGCACGACCCGGCTTGGATAGAGGAAGACAAGGCCACTCGTGAGAGAAGAAACAGGAAGACAAGGCCCTCTTCAATGAGAATTCTTGCAAAAAGGGGAAACCAAATGGCCTCGGCTAAGACGGCTTTCCGCTTACAAGGTCCTTTTAACCAGAAAGCCGAGCCATCACCTTGCTCCTAGTAGCTTCTTGTTCCTGGTAGCAAGGCCAGGAGCCCCTAGTAGCTTCTTGCTCCTACGTAGTAGCGATGCCCCTTGTTACTAGTAGCGATCAAAGACATACTATTTTCTCCGTGGAGACTTCCTCCCGTAGGAGCAGCCTGCATGCCTCACCGCGTGTCCCAAATCGATCTCTCCTTCCCATTTCACGCGGTGAGGTTGGCGCTGCGACTTTAGCTCCCAAGGCTGAGGCAGGGTTTGTACTCTCTTGAAGGCCTTTCCTTTTTTTCGCAGTTCCGCACATCAGCGTTTTTCGTGTTTTTCTCAGGGATATGTAATATTTTGATTGATGACCCACATGAATACGACAAGCACGATAGAGGTGGTCCTTCCGGGTTCAAAAACATTTAGATGCGCGCGTTGTGAGGGTAGTGTTCTTTGAACTGCCGCCTCTGCAGCGCGCCATGTTTGCCGACAGCTTCCATGTCCCTGTCCTTAAAGACCGCCAGAGCCAAGATGGAACTCTCCTTTGAGTTGGTGTGATTAATCAATTTTAAGTTTTTGAGCACTAATTAAGGTAAAGACACCAATATTTGTTCCGCTCAAAGGGAAGACGATGCTGTATTACATCCCCTCAAGCAGGAGTTGGCAGTGAAGAAAGGTGGGAGGCCTCAGCCATCCACAGCGCTGAGTCGATCGTACTGCGGTGCACATCACACGTTGTCCAGGTTACATCGGTCAGCTGATAGATTTCTTGCAATTCATTACACCAGCAACAACAGCCAGCTCTTCTAAGCAAAGCCTACTTTTGGCAATTGCCCTTAGAACCATCATTGGATAGGCCACCTGGCTTTGACACAGTGGTTGGTAGACTCAACATCTGGAGCTCGTGAAGAGGTTGGAGGTGTTGGAACCAGTATAAGAAACAGCAGGCCTTAGGAATCCCATTTTGTCGGAAGCGGGCCATCCCAAAGATCATGACGACTATGTCAAATGTCAATACTATTTGGTTGGAGGCCATCGCTCTTGACATGACATTGGCTAGCTGAGGTTCGTTGGACACCTTGAGCACACTTGTCCGCAAGATTTGCTGCTCATAGAGCTTTCGCGAGCTGTAGAGCTTCAGCGTGTTTCAGCCTTTATATCCAGGAACCTGTGATCTGTTTATATTATACAACATGTTGCTTGATTTTGGTATGACATGAGAGGGTTGAGAAATACTGAGAAACATGAAGCAGGATGAAGCTTTGAGCTAGAAGCCGAAATCCATGACAGCAAGGTTGTTGCCAATGATGCCAAGTTGTCCAGTTTATAGAAGCTTGTCTACTTTCCACCTCAACCGTGGCAACTGGACCTCAACTGGACCTCGAACATCGCCGCGCTTTTTGCGATTTTCAGCACTGTCCTGCCTCGGTGGTGAGGTTTTACATCCGGCAAAACCGAATGTCGACCTGCCAGCGTGAAAAGAGAGGAAGCAGGCCATTTTAACCATGTGCTAAGCAGCGAGAGCCAGATGGTTCACTTGAGCCAATCTTGCCGCAAGCCTTAGATGCCATCTGCGCAAAAAGCAGTATGCTTTAAACAGGGGCGCAGCAGAAGGAGGATGCCTATGCCGCCTGTGCCGCATGGTTGCTAATGGGGGTAAATTCCTGTTTGAGCTGAAGGCGGCTCGCATTGGCTCTTTCAAGCAAGCTTTGCTACCGTAACAGGGAGAAGATTTGTGCTGCTTGTTGATTGGATGTTGAGTTGCGATTGCTGGCGAGGTTACACATGGCATACACATGGCTCCACAACATACTGCCGGGGTAAGTTGTGGTTGCTGACGATTTAGCTGCTTGCGTGCGTTCTAGCTCTAGCATGTTTGACAATGGGAACGGCCTGTGTCAGCAATGCATGGCATTTGGGCTCAAGGACCATTCGTCAGGTCGATGTTTCTTACCTAAGCAGAATCTCAATGAGGCCCAAATCTCATTACTTTGCTGCAAAAGCAATGAGTTCACGATAGGCTATCGGCTGTTTGCAATACAAACTTGCTCCGTCCAAGTGTTCAAACGGAACAAAAAGAGGAACAAATGAGCGCATGCATGTCACTTCAGTTTGAAAAACGCTAGCCTCCTGCAACACCTTGGGCTAGGGCCGTCTGATTTTAGTGAATGTTTGCGTATGGTTGCGCATGGCGGAGGTGTGGTTGCTCACCTGGGGCGGTGAGCCCCAAATGATTCAAGTTGAAGCCAATCGGGGAACTTATCGAATCACCTCAACGACTCTTATCCACTGTTGATGGCATTGTGATCACTTTTGTTCTAGTAACCATTGCAATTTGCTGTAAGTTGAAACGGTGGAAAGAGACACGGTTCTTCAATGTTTGATTCATGCCTTCCTTCCTTCCTTCCTTCCTTCTGTCTTCCTTTCCTTCCTTCTTTCATTATTTAATCACTAACCAAAGAAGATATATATATTTTTTGTTCAATTCATTTTGTTTTGTTTCATTTCATTGCAATTCAATTCAGTTCAGTTCATTTCCAGCAATTTCATTTCATTTCACTCATTCGTGTCATTCACATGTCATTTCATGTTCATTTCATTTCATTCTATTTTCATATTCTGTTCATGGTCATTGTCAATTTTCATATTTCATACAATGTTCTTTCATTTTCATGTAATTTTTGTTTTTGCTTTTTCATGTTCATTTTAATGTTAATTTTTCATTTTCATATTCCTTTTATTGTCATTTTTGTTGTGCTTCTCCTTATCCTTTCATTTTCATTATATGTCATTCTATGTCATTTTCATTGGTGATATTTTGGAGCGACAGGCGCTGGTGCAAATGGTGCACATCAGCTTAGCACAAAGAAGGCCTGAAGAAGCTAACTGCTGCTGCCATGCTTTGGAACAGTGAACCGTATGTGCTTGGCGGATTTGTTGGAATTGGACTGGGACGTGCAGCATTCGTTTTGCGGGCAGGCAGCACCGAAGGACAAAGAGATCATCGGATCTGACAAGCTTCTGATTTTGAGGCACTTGGCTTGGAAGCTCATGACTGGGGCCTCGCGACACACAGTGACATTTTGTGGACAGTCATGGGCTTGATCACCGTTTTCCAGCATTGCTACATCCTTTGCCGCGCCAACCTTCTGGGGCAGATAGCCATAGGCCACAGTTGCATGTTACCTATGACGCACTTGACTATTGGAGGTCTGGCAAAGTGGAGAGCGCCAAGGTGTACTTGATACATGGCCTGTGCCTCAAGATTTGTGAGGGTGGTCTTCAGAAAAGACAACTCAGCAGGTTGAACATTGAGCAGTTGAAGCTTTAAACCGGCTTCTGGTTGCTTGAGTTGTAGCTTGGAGCTCCTAATTAGGCCTTGATGGTGATGCCCTAAGCGGTGGCAGCACCTTTACCAGCATTGCGCCATGCTTGGCTCCATGCAGGCGGCAAATCACCATCGTGTGACAAGGGGACATGCTAGTGTGACCAACCGAAAGCCTTTGATGGTTCCTGCTTTGATGGCTCAGCCGTACGATCATTTCAGTAGGGCCTGGTTGGATGCTGCTGACAACACGTTGATCATCATATATCATGACCACTGTACCTTGAAAGGGTGGGTGCGGTGGTCTATGACCCGGAGGCGCTGTCCGAGTGTTCGGCCTTAGTTGTTTCTTTTTTCTTTTGCAGCGATGTTGGATTGGTAGTACTGCTCGAGATCCAGTCAAATCCGCTAGATTCTGATAATTCTCATAGTTTTAGTCAGAGTCTTCCAATCACTGTGGAGGCCTGTGATGCAACCCCTTGCAAAACAGCGGAGAAAAACCTGGCTCTCGAGTATGTCCGGCGAAGGCTTTGGAATGCAACTCCATTCCTGAGCTTGCAGCTTGCTACAACCGGCGAGTCCGGAAGCCCGGCAGAAGTGGTGCATGACTGATTGAGAATTTATTATTTCGCACCACTTCGTTATTCTTTCGCATGACTGATACAGCACAACTTCGTTTTTATTAAGCATTTATGATTTCACGAAAACGTTCTTTCGCTGACAAGATGAGATGATGAGCGGCATCGCTTCATGAGAGCTCCAGGTGCTTGAAGACGCCAGGAGCCACACTGCTGCGAGCTTGGCCGAGCTCTGGTTGTTTACAGAGCATGCCATTCGACGAAAAGCACAGTGGTGCAAAGGGAACGCAACGTTGAAGTTATCCTTTATGTGTGTTGAGATGCACCTCCGGATACCATAATAGTCACTACTAATCACTAATCACTACCAGTTACTAGCCCCTATTTATGAGTAGTTACTAGACTGCCACTGGGTGTTTGTCTTCGGGCCCGAAAATCAAGCGGCTCGCGGAAATCGAAAGCAACTCAAATCTCAGAGGCCGGATCAGACGCGAATCTGATTATCATTGCAGGCGCAAGCCGCGCTAGCAACAAGAGATCTCAAGAAAAGTTCCATGCGGTGCCTTGATGCAACTGCTATGAACTGGAAAACAGCTCGCATTGCCATGCATAGCAGTGCATAGCACTGCCTACACTGGCTTGATGAGTCTGCTCATTCCAGACGCACAAGAGCTCATCAAACAAAAGCCGGCTTTACTGTGGGAGGCTACTCCCATGGTTGTGTCCTTGCTCATCAGATGGGGCATCAGCTGCACAAGGAGGGGAAGATGACAGCAAGAAACAATTCTATGGAAGTAGCGCACATCGATTTACCTCTTCCCATTTCTTGTCAGTGAGGCCGGCATTTGGACAGCTGTGGTGATGTTCGACTTGGAAGTAACCTGGCCACCGCCCAGCACTAATTCACGCGTGGGTGGCTACGAGTTCTTGGGAGGAGAGGCAGAGGCGCAAACTCTCAAGACGAAGATATCCTTGGTGTTTGCTGGGAGTGCTTTAGCAACCGGTGTAGCAATGGGCCACAGTTCTAGACAATAACTATTACTGTAATATTCATATTCCCTTTGAGAGTGTGGTCAGGCCATTTTGCTGATTTCACGGGCCTTCGGCAAGTTTGAGTTTGCAATCAAGGAGCGCTGAAGCTTAAACTGCATTTACTGTAATTTATTGTAAGGGCTCCGCCCTGGTGCCGCCGCCAGCTGCCGAGAAGGGTTTGGGGG